ATTAACACTATTCTCTTTCTTTTTATATCTTTAATGCCAATATTGGTTAAAAATCGTAATTTAAGGGCAATAACTTCTTTATCATTGAAGGATTCTGTTCAGTCTTTTGGTATTTTTATTCTTATTGTATTGGTGATCATTTTGTTGTTTTAGGAACAATTAATTCCAAACTATTTACTAGATACCATAAGGATCATGTAGGTCAAGTCTGGCTGAAATTGGTTATAGGGAAGAATTTTTGTAACATTTTACAAGCAGAAGAAATCAGACTCAAAATGATTGCAATAGCTAATATTGGCCTTTTGGGATTAGAAGTAATAGACAATGTCTTGTTTTTAGCTCACCTTGCATAAAAGGCCAAGTGAGCTTTTCTCATCACTTGGCGCCCGTCGTCCGTCGTCGTCTGTTAACTTTTACAAAAATCTTCTCCTCTGAAACTACTGGGCCAAATTTAACCATATCTAGTTTAAAAAAATTGTCCTATGAACCCGCCTGCCAACCAAACAGGAGCAAAAATGTTCAGAATGTTGAGCTCTACCTATTGTCTATTTGCGTCAAAACTGTCAGACGACACCTTATAGGAATTATTCCCCTAAAATGACGAATTTTACCATTTTGTTATTTTTTATGCTATTATCCCAAAACATTATAATAGATAGACAGAAACTTTAAATTAATATGATCAGCAAGACAAGATCTACAAATAAGTCAAACATGACCAAAATTGTCAGACAACTCCTTATTAGAGTTATTGCTCTTTAATGACGATTTTTACCCATTTTTTTAGTTTTTGCCTTATATCTTAAAAACTATAATAGATAGTTAGAAACAATACTTTGCAAAAATGATCAACAAGACAGGATCTACAATTAAGTCAAACATAACCAAAATCGTTAGTCAACACCTTATTGGAGTTATTGTCCTTTCAGAATGACGATTTTCCCCATTATTACCTACTATATTAAAAACTATTATAGATACGGATAGAAACTTAAAATAGCACAAATGATCAGCAAGACAAGATCTACAAATGAGCCTAAATGGACGAAATCTTAAGTAGACTTTGAAAAGGAAAAACTATCAGCAGGATAAGATCTACAAATATGTCAACATTACCGAAATTGTCAGTAAACTCTTAATAGAGTTATTTTCCTTTAATGATGATTTTTACTAAAAAATGGCCATTGTTGAAGATGCAGGTGAGCGACACAGACTCTTTAGAGCCTTTAGTTTTTCATTTGGTCTCACACCTCTCACCTTATTTGTTAATAAGAACCACCATGAATGACTTACTCTGCCTTTTATCAATAAACACCTACTTAACTACATCAATGAACACTTTTGCTATATCGCCCCTTTAAGATATGTAATTAAAAAAAATTATGCTTGATAATCCAGTGGTCAGGTATGTTTTTCAGAATAAGTTATATTCCTCAGAAGCTATGTATTAAAGTTTTAATATTTGGTATATATGGTTTGGTTTTAAGGGTGTTAGTCTGAAAGTTCATTACCTTTAAAAAAAATCAAATATTGCAACAAGACATTTCAGTGTGTCCCTAAAACAATATTTTTCCCACAGAAAAATGCATATCAGAACCCACCTGAGGATAACAAAGTTACATTAAAACAAAATGAAGTAAATGTGACAAGAAATGAATACACGCTCCATATCACAGGGGAGCAGGACATTTTAGTGGAAAATTAAAATTTACTGTAAGACATTATAGCCCATTTTATGGCCAGATTAATTCATTCACCTGGATTTTTAACCGGATTTTCGAAGGAAATATCGGTTATTAAATTGGGGATGTACGGCGGGCGGACGGGCGGGCGGGCGGGCGGACGGGTGGCTGCCAAACAGTGTCGCCACAATAACATGAAAACGCTTTAACAATTTTTTTTTCAAATTTAAATATGTTGTTTCCTGGGACTTAATGAAGGTCTAGTTCAATTTTCAAGATTTTTCTCTCTTGGTATCATATTATGACCAAGGTAAAGCATATGGTAAAAGTCTTATCTCACAATTATAATTGGAGTGACAGATTTATTTGAAAATTTTCTGTTTCCTGATAAGATCTGTAGGACTGTATATATAAAGTTTGAAATTTACTAGTAGGACTGTATAAATGAAGGTTGAAATTTACTGTTCATTATTAGACACTTTGAAGATAATTACAGATAAGTTTTATAGGTTTTTAAGAGATATACATTTTGAAGTTAATTACATTACTAATAATTATATACCTAATGTTAGAGTACTTTGTTAAAAGGTTAAACCATAGTTCTGTTCAAGGGGAAATAACCTTTCAATTTGCAAGCATGATTCATTAGATAATAATCTATTATTTATAAGTTAAAAAGTTAAAATTAAGATAAGATAAGTTGCAGATCTATATTGGTATGTTACAGATGAAAGAAAAAATATTGGGAACTATCAACTATATATATAAAGTTTGATTTTGATTTATACACTAAGTGATAAGATAACACACATCTGGTAATTTTCAATGCAATCACCCAATTAAAATTGGAGTGACAGATTTATTAGAAAACTATTATTTATATTTGATTATAATTTAAAAATAAATATAATATCATATCTCTTTACATCATATCTAATTTTAGAGTCTATGGTTAAATCATATTTAATTTTAGATTAACATGATTAGTTCATGGAAATAAAGTTTAAGTTATTTCCATTTATAACAGAAATGGTTTAACTAAGAAGTATTTCATCAAAAATTGAATTCTTGGGGTTCTTTGATATGCTGATTCTAGCAATGTACTTAGCATTTGGATATTGGACCATAATAGGTAAATGTTCAATTTCAAATTTTTCAGTTATTTGACCACATTTATTTTGTGTCACAAACCCATGCTGTATTAAATATTCAATCACAATCCAAATTCAGAGCTGTTTTAAACTTAAATGTTGTGTCCATACTTGCTCAACTGTTTAGGGTTTGACCTCTGCAGGAAAATCCGGTTTGCTGTCACTCTGACAGCCTCTTGTCTATTGCACATTTTAGTGAAAACTTACCTGTTTAAATAATACTCACCATACTAAAGCCGAGAACAGTAATTCATGCTGACTTAAAGTGTCTGTCACTATAATGAGATTGTTAAAATGCCAGATTTTTTCCCGCTAAAATGTCCTCTGCAGTAGTGCTACATCAAAAGCCTCAAACCTATAATATATGGTAGTTGTTTGGAACATGATCATTTTTGATTGATATGCCATTCACTCACAATGTGCCCAAGAGTGCACATGTTGAAATGTCTCACTTGCTATACTTATTGAATTTATGTTGAAAGTCTGTAATATGAAGGTTTTAATACAAGTATCACATAAACTTAACATTATCAATGATCCCAAAAAAGATTTAGGTCAGATAAACAATGCCAGACAGACATTTAACTTTACAATCATTCCATACACAATATAGTTGACCTATTGCTTATAGTATCTGATAAGCAGACCAAACCACAAAAATTTAACATTGACCATCGAACCATGAAAATGAGGTCAAGGTCAAATGAACCATGCCAGACAGACAAGAGCTTTACATTCATACCATACACCAAATACAGTCGACCTATTGCTTATAGTATCGGATGAACTAAAAAAACCATGAACTAGATATGGACAATGCCCCCCTTTCTGCTCTGCCATATGCATGAGTATAGTTCCCCATATTTTAGATTTGACAAACAGTGATGTTGGCATACAACTTGAAATTATTACGCTATCTGTAAGACACAAATGATGCCCCCGCCTGACCAAAAAAATGATAAAGTCCAACTACCTGTCATTTTCAGAATATTTGAAAAAAAATCATAATCCTGTGGCCATGCACACCTCCATTATGTGTTTGAACATCCTACAAAATATTAAAGCTGTATCTCCAAAACTGTAGGAGGAGATAGCCGGACAAACAATGTTTCCTAATCCAGACAGGGGTAAATTAATATGCCCCTCAACATTTTGTCGCGGGAGCATAAAAATTTACATTGACCAATGAACCATGAAAATGAGGTCAAGGTAATATAAAACCTGCAAGACAAACATTTACCGCTGCTTTTTTATGCACTAGTTTGTCCTTAGTCAGGAGCCTGTTGTTCAGTGGTTGTCGTTTGTTGGTGTAGTTCATAAGTGTTTCTCGTTTTTTATGTAGATTAGACTGTTGGTTTTCCTGTTTGAAGTGTTTTACACTAGTCTTTTTGGGCCCTTTATAGCTTGCTGTTCGGTGTGAGCCAAGGCTCCGTGTTGAAGGCTGTACTTTGACCTATAATTGTTTACTTTTTACGCATAGTGACTTGGATGGATAGTTGTCTCATTGGCACTCATACCACATCTTCTTATTTATATGTACACCTTAAAATCATTCAATACACAAAATATAGTGGCCCTTTTGCTTATTATCTGAGAAATAGATCAAACCACAAAAACTAAACATTATCTACTGAATTATGAAGGTCAAGGTCAGATGAAACCTGCCAGTCAGACAAGTACACCTTACAATCATTTCATACACAAAACATAGTTGACCTATTGCTCATAGTATCCGAGAAAGGGACTTGACCACGTAAACTTAACCTTGATCACTGGTCCATAAAATGAGGTCATGGTCAGGAAGACCTTGCAAGGAAGCCACATACCAAATATAGTTATCAGTTATCCTATTACTCATAATAAATGAATATTTCACATTACAAAAAAAGCTATAATTTTTTTCAAGCAGTCACTGAACCATGAAAATGAGGTCAAGGACAATGGACACAAGAACGACGGAAACTTCGTAAAGTAAGGTATCTGCATACATGGTATGAATCATCCAGGTCTTCTATCTTCTGAATTATAAAGCTTTATACAAATAGTTTATGCCGTCACCTCTGGATTGTAATCACATGTCTCACATTCTCCGACTTTCGTCCCAGTCGAGACAAAAATTAGGCTTACATGAAAATAGTGACATGATAAAACATAAATAGAAGACAGGTAAGATTTATGTTTTATTTATGAATTTCATAAAATATGCTAATCAGGTATCACAGAAATTGCAATTCACAATAAAATGGACAAAGGTTTTACACAAATTGGTTTTACACTGAATTACAGCAGTAAATCTGACATATAACATGATTTCACAACATACATCATGGTAATGGCAGTCTAGAAATGGTTTTTCACAAATTTGAGATTCCTTAATCATGAAATAATGGACAAAAAAGTTTGTTAAAACACAAATAATTAGACACAGCAAATTATTGTTGTACAATTTCACAGGCACAAGCTCAGCTGAGATGTTTAAAATACTGACTGTAGAAATACTAACAACACTAAAATTATAAATTTACCTATAAACCAGTCAAAAATAAATATTAATATGGTTACCATAAAGAAAACTTATATTTAAAAAAAATAATCTAAGTAATATTGTACACTGTAAAAAAATAAGACTAACATGTATGTAGTTGTGCTCAGTCTTTTCTTCTTATGTTACAACTCAAAAGTAACAACCATTTTACTGTGAGTTAATATGGAAATTGAGTTAGGTTTGAATAATCACCAAATATTCCCTACACAGTGGGATTGGAATCCAGTTTAAAACCACATTTTAACTGTTTACAGTTTCTCTCTATCCTATAGTTGTTGCCAAAAGTAAAAAGAATACAAAAGAAATCGTCATTTAAGGGCAATAGCTCCTAAAAAGAGTCAACTGACAATATGGGCTACGTTCATCTATTGTGGAACAGTCAGACAGGATACCAGGCTAGTTAAAGCAAAAATTATGAACAAATTTGGGAAATAATTCATAATTATCAACTTAAAGTAATTTTCACAATTGAAATTTCAATAATGAAAAAAAGGTCCAATAAGTATTTACCTCACCTTAAAATTGAACACAAATTCTCATTTTTTTTTCAATGTCTCCACACAATGAATAATTAATCAGTTTAAAAAAGTCTAAATGGTTTTTGCTAGCAGAGCTGAATTAGGGTTTGAGTTATTTCCCTTTGGTCTAAATTGAAATGCCTAATAGACTATTTTCATATATTACCGACTTTTGACTACGGATTATATAATTTTTCGACAGGTACTCGGTCAAGTAAGAGCAACCAAAAGAAGAAAAATCAAACACATAATCCGTGCAATTTGAGGGGAAAGTTTTCTGTTTTCTGATGATTTTATCGTGTTAAGAAAATATAAAGCAGTTAATTTTCCCCATAAATTGTATAGATTAAAAGCTTGATTTTACTTTTTTACATTGCTCTTACTTGACCGAGTACCAGGATGTCTTACCACAGAGTAGGTAACCTGTCAAAAAAATATAAACTGCGGAGTCAAAAGTCAGTAATATGAAAAAGGTCTATTTGATATGATTATTTCCGCACAGGATTATTGTAATGACACTTACAAGAAAAGATTGCTCTGTGACAAGACTATTTGAAAATCTTTGCTCTGCAATCTATTCTGAAACAATAGGTATTGAAATTCAATTTCACTGGTATAAGAAATTGCAGGTTAATTAATGATACATTAAAATAAACAAAAGAAAAAATTGTCACACATACAAACGCTGGGACTATTTAACAGCAGTCACCTATTGATTAGCTTTATATCAAAATTACTCCAACTTGCAATATCATTATTTTGGGAAATAAACATAAGCACAATTCTGTATTTAACTAAAGTTTGTACTTCACTATGAAGTAAATATAGTACAAATGTAAAAGGAAGAAATGTTTTCCTTTACTTACCCAAGGTACTTTGCTATTTCATAAATACCTTTTTCAATTTGCAATTTAAATTCATTTCTGTAAACTGATAACTTGGTGAAAAATGTTAGCTTATTGGTAAAGAAAGGTTGTTTGTATATACTTGTACATTGTAATTTTCTTACCATCCAGTTCATGTGACTGACTTTCTGTTCCATAATCAGTTTGGAAAAGTCAAATGTAGCTAATTATGGATACACTAATAAAAAAAGTATTGACTTCAATATGAAAACTATTATAACAACATTTTTCACTTAATTTGTTCCAAACTAATTTTTCCTTGAGTATAAAAGTATTCCCTTGTTTTCTAAAAAAAAAATTGTTTTGTACTTTATTAATTCAAATATTCATTTTATTTTCAGGTGTAGGATATACTGTTGATGTGATGTATGAGCAAGATTATCTCACAAGCATCTGATGTATTCAACATTTTTCAAAGAATTTGTTATCATCCAATAAAATAAATCGACTTTCTTCTAAGAACACATAACAAATTTAATAACCACTGACACAATAATCAGAACAAATTAGTTATTGTAGACATTCTACCTTTTTTTGAACTAGTGTGGCTGATAACAAAACTAAGTGCTTGTTTTTCCAATCTTGTTATGAAATAGAAAGTTAATATTATGAATTATCAGCTAGAGTATAATCAATATGCTGCACTTACTTTAAACTAAAAACAACCTCCCTCCATTGATGGGTGCACAATTTTCACCAGCTGATTCGTTTGAAGAAATGTATTTAAACTTCAACTTGATAAAGTGGTTTTGGTCATTTGTATTGTGAAAGGACAAGACATCTTGGGCACATGTAATGCGTAATGGCTAATGAAAAGTGTCCTCATAGAGGAGCTACAAAGAGAGCCAAAGTGCTTGGTATTTACATTCTAATGATTAAATCTTTTCCCATATGATTATCAAATATATAACCTAGACACTTCTGTAAAAGCAAATATGACTTAAAAATCGAAAATTGCCACATTAAAAGTATATTTTGACTCTGTGAACAGTTTCATATGATTTTGAAGTGATAAAATAACAAATTCCAACATAAAATTTCATAATGAAAATATTTCCTCTCTTTACATTTTCCGGCCAATATCAATTTAATTCATTCAAAATTAAATGGACTAGTTTGTCTTGAAGGATCTCACTTATCCCTGCTAATGATAAATTTTGACAGTGAAATTCAGTAATCTTTAGTTTCTTTTCCAGTTGCAGAAATGATGTTAAAATTTTTTAAAAGCACTTGAAAATTCAAACCTGAAGAATTTCACATCAAATTGTTTTCTGTAATCTTACAAAATTATTTTACCGACTCCTTTGTTTCTATTTTCTGTGCAAGGTACGATTACAAAATGGTATTACACATAGTGTTCCTATAATCCCATAAATTTGCTTATCAATAATGTACTGTTTAATTGATATATAAATTCTGTGTTTTTGTCACTTTATATAAAGATCTAAAAAATTGGCAGATCCTTCAACAATAACTAAGCTACACTACTCTACATTCAAAATTTACACAAATATGACATAAAAAGGTATGTACAATAATATCACAGTTTATCTTCTACATTAAATTATGCATTAAACAATTGCAGTATGGATATGTAATATGAAAACTCTGAAAAAATTCTAATGTAGATTATCTTCATGGTTCATGATTAAAAAAATAAAATGTCTCCATTCGTTTCTAATAAAATCAGTTGTGACAGGCATAACTATTGAAAGTCGTAAAATTTAAAATTAACATGTTGCCTTTGTCAAGAGTAAAATATGATCATTTATCATAATTTTATGCGTTTTCACTCTTTCCCCACAACTTCTTCAGGATTTATCCTCTACAGTCTTTATGTGAGACAATTTAAGACATATATTCGAATTGAATTATTCCTAAACCACAAACTCAGAGGTAAGAAAAGTTAGCAATGACTTAAAGTTCCTGAGAAAAATGTGATAGAAACTGTTACTGACAGATGAAGGGACACACAAACAAATCAGTATTCCATCCTCCTATTGGACAGAAATATAAGAAATGTTTAGACCTTATTGGAGGATTTTTCTTATTCGACTTGTTGAGAATACGCTTTTTAAAATTTTATTGGCCATATGAGCGGTGTCTTAGAAAAACCGCTGTGGAAAACCTTTTGAACAACATTTTTTTTGGTTTTTTTTTTTTACACTTTACCAAAATGGAATTCAACATTCAAAATAATGTTCTCCGACAGCTTTTCCTACAAGGGAAATAATATTAATCTTTTTTTGTTTTGTTAAATGTCTGCAGAGATTTTCAGACAAAACAAAACAAAACCATCTTCTGATAAAAATTTCAAAATTGCAGACAAATATCAATTTCAAAGATGAAGCAAGACTTGTGAAACAATATTTTCAATGTTTTTTAAAAGTATTACATACACATTAATCAAGTCACTTAATATGTAATGTAGACTAGGGCTAATGAAATGATTGTGAGGTTTTATTTCAATAGTATATAATTTTTTCCCCCAATTCAATGAAGTAAAACAATGAAATCAACAAAAAAGAGGTAGATATCAACAATAGTTTTAGGTAGATATTCTGAGTAATAACTGCATTGCCAAGAGATATACCCTCCATTACATTTGAGGCATTCTAATGAAAGAAAATGTTCTCACTATTAGATGATTATAAATGTATCAAAATATTGCATAAATATAAAGTTCAGAATGATCCAACAGCCATATCTAATCCTCTTACTATAATCAGTAAATTATAGCAATGAATTTGTTTTATAAAACAACTAACTCAGTTTTATATGAAAATAAAAAGATCCAGTAGAATTTTCCTCCCTTCCAGATGAAAGATAAATGCAAAAGGTTTTAACAATCACCTTCACACTTAAGATGATAAAAAAACTGAATAAATTATATATTAAATAAAATAGTTGGAAGAATCTAACTTCTAATGCCATTTAAACACTTGTACTAATTATAGTATTACAAAAAATTACCACTATGGAATTCTGAGAAGAAAATGGGACTAAACGTAATAAATAGAACAGGAGTTGTCATCAGCTAACATCCATTTTTTCATCATGGCCATTACTCCTTTTTCTGTCTTTACTTTCACTTTCACATAAATCTTTACTTTCATTTTCCCTTCCACACTGGTCCTGAACATGTTTACTTTGTGCTTCTTGTAACCAGTTATCTCTATTTTTAGCACAACCATCTAAGAGAGGTGATAATTTGGGGGATACCTTCGCAATTGCCTAGAATAGAATTGAATACATTCAAATAAATAAAGAAAAACTATTGGTATTATTACAAAACTAGAGGCTCTAAAGAGCCTCTGTCGCTCACCTTCGTCTATGTGCACATTCAACAAAGGACACTCTCCAACATTGTAGACGAGAATAGAATTCATGACAAAAATCTATGTTTTGTTGATCTTGTACTAGTGCTCATTTAGCCTATTTTAGTTTCTCTCTATCTTCTTTAGTTTTTGCACAAAACACAAAAGAGGGTAAAAAAATTCTCATTTAAGGACAATCACTCCTATAAAGAGATACAGTCTACTACCTATATCGGCAAAATTTGACTTGTTAGTAGATCTTGCCTTGCTGATCATTTTTGTGATTTAAAGTGTCTATTTATCTATTATAATTTTTATCATGTAAGGCAAAACACAAAAAAATGTTAAAAATCGTCATTAAAGGGCAATAATTCCAATAAGGAGCTGTCAGACGATTTTGTCTATATTGTCTTAATTGTAGATCTTGTCTTGCTGATCTTTTTTGCTGATTTAAGTTTCTGTATATCTATTATAATTTTTAAGATATAAGGCCAAAACGCAAAAAAAATGGTAAAAATCATCATCAAAGGGCAATAACTCTAATAAGGAATCGGCTGACGATTTCGACCATTTAACTTATTTGTAGAACTTGTCTTGCTGATCATTTTTGTAAGTTAAAGTTTCTCTCTATCTATTATAGTTTCCAAGATAAAAGGCAAACATGAAAAAAAAAAGTCAAATTTGTCATTTAAGGGCAATAACTCCTATAAGAAGTTGTCTGACAGTTTTTATGTACATGGACAATTGGCAGAGCTCAACATTCTGAACATTCCTCGTGTCAGATTTTATCTATTTCAAACGGTTTTCAAAATAATAGACAAAACTTGCATTTTACTCCTGTTCGACATGTCGGCCGTCTTGGTTGGCAGGCGGGGTCATCGGACACATTTTTTAAACTAGATACCACAATGATGATTGTGGCCAAGTTTGGTTAAATTTGGCCCAGTAGTTTCACAGGAGAAGATTTTTGTAAAAGTTAACAGACGACAACGGAAGCCAAGTGATGAGAAAAGCTCACTTGGGCCTTTGGGCCAGGTGAGCTAAAAAATGGATTTATACAATAAAATACATCTCATCAATACATCTATTTGAAAATGTAAATTATACTGAAAATATGTGATAAACTATTCATTTTATAATGCAAGGAAAGTTCTGTGAAAAACAGGTTTGGCTGTATCTAAATGTCAAATTGTACCCTCATTCAAAAATGTCATAGCACTCTGCTAGGACCAATATAAAAATATGTATTAGTCCTAGCTCTCGGCAAAGTTTAAAAGATATATCAATACTGAAACTTAACAAAATGAAATGGCAGGTAAATATTATCAACGTTATGACAAATTGTCCTACAAAATATCAGAACTATCAAAATGTCCTTTGTGTCATTTGATTATCTTTAGATGCTGTCTCAATTTCATTTACATAACATAGGTTTATGTCCAAACAATTCAGAATCATGTTCACAAGGTTTAAAGATGTATATAATTGTACATGTTAAATGGCCTTATCTCATGCTAAAAACACATCATGACAGGATTATATACTTGTAATAAACTAACATAAAGACCAAATATCTTATTAAACAAAAGATCACGGAAGAATGTACATGTGATCATGTTTCTTTTCTCATTTACCTGATATACTGGCATGCAAATGGCATCAATGAAGCCAACCTGCATTCTGGGTAACTCTTCTTTCTTTTCTCTGTTCATCATATCCTTTAAAAAGATATAAATAAATGGAAAATAGTACAAAGATGGATGAAATATACAATTAACTCTTGACACTGAGATATGTCTTGCTGTTATGCTATTTTGATTGTACCTATATGTTGTAAAAATTTGGTTAATAAAGAATTGAATTGAATTGAAATGTTGAAATTAAAATGGCAATACCTAAGTCAACGAACCATGACTGAAGGTGCATAATCTCCAGGGAAATGAAAAATGCTAATACTAATACAACTGCATACCAAATACAATTGATCTTTTATTCATTGTTCAATCTTAAACTGACCTAATCACAAACTTCAACATGAAAACTATGCAAAAGTTTCAAAGTTATTAGACAATCGCTGAGCGGAAGGGTCCAAATAATCTTTATGGAATTGAAATGTGCCAATGCTAATACAACTGCAAACTAAATATCATTGACCTACAATTAGTGGTTCCCCTTAAACTGACCTAATTATAAAATAATACAAATTGTTCATGCTGCTGCCACTGCACGAGACAGCACCCCTTAGTCTTGTGTTCTCGATTTCATTGAGGCTAGACAAGAATGAGTAAAAATTTCAGTCCCAACTTCCTGTGGCAATGAAAGGTAAAATTTTTATGATAGTGAGGAATCTTGATTTTATTTCAGTAGGACTAATGTTGTTTTTACTCTTATTTCTGTTGGGAGTTGTAATAAAACAAGCCTTTAATTCAATCAAAAAATTCTCTGAAACACATTATCAAGATGCTTTATATCTTGATTGACAACACATTTGTTATGTTCATATGATGTTGTTTTTCAACAAACAATCAACATTCCCCTGGTAACTTTGCTCTTCTTTTTGCCAACTAGTTTCCTTTATTCATATGAGGCTGACTTCTCACAGAAGCTTCTATGAAAGAATGAAGAGAAGCTATCATTATCTTTCAACTTCAAGTTCTACTTAATAAATGATGTCCTTTCACTGAATAATTCAAAGTTTGGTGACTATATTGAAAGCATCTATCCTATTGAGCTTGAAATAAAGGATACAACAGATACAGTCTGCCTCATATTTTGACTTACATCTTTAAATTCAGAATGAGGATCATTTGAGAACAAAACATTAAGAAAAAAGAGATGAAATCAGCTTCCAAATTTTGAACATTTCTATGTAGAACTAGAGGCTCTCAAGAGCCTGTGTCGCTCACCTGTATTTACTGATGCTTTGGAAATCATGTAAAATAAGGTTAAAATCATAATTAATAGTATTAGATATTAGATATCATAATGATATCTAAGATAATAACAAAAAACTGCAAAATTTTTGTAAAATTACTAACTCAGGGGCAGCAACCCAACAACCGGTTGTTGGATTCGTCTGAAAATTTCAGGGCAGATAAATCTAAATCTGATGAAAATTTTTGCCACCTGTCAGATTTGCTCTAAATGCTTTCGTTTCAGAGATATAAACCAAAAACTGCATTTTACCCCTATGTTCTATTTTAACCAAGTCAGCCATGATGGTTGGAAGGCAGGGTCATCAGACAAATTTTTTAAACTAAATACCCTAATAAAGGTTATGGCCAAGTATGGTTAAATTTGTATCAGTAGTTTCAGAGAAGAAGATTTTTGTAAAAAATTACAAAAATTTACAAAAAATTGTTAAAAAATGACTATTAAGGGCAATAACTCCTAAAGGGGTCGACTGACAGTTTTGGTCATGACAACTTATTTGTAGATCTTACTTTGCTGAACATTATTGCTGTTTACAGTTTATCTCTATCTATAATAATATTCAAGATAATAACCAAAAACTGAAAAATTTCCTTAAAATTACCAATTCAGGGGCAGCAACCCAACAACAGGTTGTCAGATTTGTCTGAAAATTTCAGGGCAGATAGATCTTGACCTGATAATCAGTTTAACCCAATTCAGATTTACTCTAAATGCTTTGGTTTCAGAGATATAAGCCAAAATCTACATTTTACCCCTATGTTCTATTTTTAGCCATGGTGACCATCTTGGTTGGTTGGCAGGGTCTACGGACACATTTTTTAAACTAGATACCCTAATGATGATTGTGGCCAAGTTTGGTTAAATTTGGCCCAGTGGTTTCAGAGGAGAAGATTTTTGTAAAAAGCTAACGACGACGGACGACGCCGCCGACGGACGACGGATGCCAAGTGATGAGAAAAGCTCACTTGGCCCTTCGGGCCAGGTGAGCTAAAAAATTCAAACAGAGCCTGCATGTGAAGCATATATCTCCCAGTTGATATGATATTCCAGGGTTTGCATTTCCTATCATGATTTCCTTGATAGAGGGTTGCTGCTAATAGGGAAGCTATTAAACCAAGAGTTCCATGAGGTGAAATTGAAGTCATCCCTTTGAAAATGGATGGACCACATCACAAGTTGGTTGACTGTTATGGAATATCTGTTTCACAGATGACAACAGATTTGTTCCAATTGTTGTAACTATAATCCTGTCCTCTTTTCCTTGAAGGTGACCTACCCAATTAGATTTATAACTGGGTTTGTACTTATAAAAGTAACACAAGAGGTGCCACATGTGCAGCAGGATCTGCGTACCTTCAAGAAGACCTGAGCACCACCCCCTTTTTAGTGGGGTTCATGTTGCCAGTCATTAGTTTTCTATATTGTGTTTTGTAGACTGTTATTTGTCTTTTAGTTGTTTTTCGTTTTTGCCATGGCATTGTCAATATAAAAATAAGGAGATGTGGTATGATTGCCAATGAGACAACTATCCACCAAAGGTCAAATGAAGTGGATGTAAGCAATTATAGGCAACGGTACAGCCTTCAACAATGAGAAAAACCCATACTGTATAGTCAGCTATAAAAGGCCCTGACATGAAAAATATAAAACAAATCAATTGAGAAAACTAACGGCCTAATTTATAAAAAAACAATTTACAAAAAAAACAAATATGACAGACATGAAGCAATGACAACCACTGAACTACAGCCTCCTGACTTGATTGATTGATTGATTGTTGGTTGCTTAACGTCCAGTGGCAAATATTTGGGACAGGCACATAAAGAATGTGGCGGGGTTAAACATGTTCAGTTCATTTTTGACTTACAAGTTTGACTATCCCTTTGGTTTCTTCTACCTCTCTTTTGGAAGTTTTAAGCACCAATAGAGTTTTTATAAATCATAAATGATTAATATTGGTAGGTGTTCAATACATATAAATACCAATTTTTTATTGGTTGCAAGACAAATCATCTCATTCAGTCATATGTTTCAAATTTCTTAAAAGCAACCAAAGATTAGAACTATCAGCTCCAACAACCGAAATAAATAATACTGTTTTTCTCATGTACTTCTTTCAACCGTTTATGTTTTTAAAAATGGCATTTTTTAATTTGAAAAAGTAGTTGACATTATATATTGTAAATTATATATGAATAATTAATAGAAAAATGTAACAATAAATCATTATCCTAATGCTATGATATGCATGTTTAGTGATTATTCCAATTTGAGAACTACTTTATGAGCTATCTATAATGAAATCAACATTATGATTATGAAAATGTCAGTGATATGATGTATAATTGATTTCACATGGGATATTCACTAGCTTTCAACTAATTAAACAATTTTTGCTAAAGTTTTGTGTTTATAATGTTACTTTCAGATTTAAAATATTTATAACATAAGATTGGTAAATATCAGAATTAAATGCTGTGTTTTTGAAAATTTATACATAACGAAAGCAAACTACGATCACATTTTTAAAAATTACTTTGATCTTCTGCCCTCAATGCAAAATGTGAAGGTTATTTGCTTTCATTTTGTATAAATTAAAAAAAAAAGCAATCAATTCTATATTGAAGCAGGTAGTTATAAAAGGCTATGAAGTTACATACCATCGGTGTTATCTTCAACTGTATCTTTTCTAAATCTCCTTGTTCAAAGAACTCATTAGCTATCAATTCTGCAACCTTCAAATAAGAAAAAGTCAGAATGAAAATTACAATCTGGTCTCTTGTTTTAAAAAGTCTGGATACGTCCTAAATAAAAACATATATGAATCTATTCACTTGTAATGGCAATTTATATCTAGTTAATATTAGATATAAAATTGGTAAAGAAAATTTCTCAGTATTGTGAGGTTATGGGTTTGATCTGGATATGTATTTGCTGCTTCTGTGTCATACAAGCAGCATGCAGGAGAACGTGCAAAGATTGGTCTGCCCACAGTCAGATTACAGTGTCAAGGTATATGTTACATGTCTATAGGCTGTAACCTTGTGTCTAGGTATAGGCAACATGTCTTTCTGCAGACTGTAACCTTGTGTCTAGGTATAGGTAACATGTCTTTCTGCAGACTGTAACCTTGCATCTAGGTATAGTTACATGTCTGCAGACTGTAACCTTGTGTCTAGGTATAGGTAAAATGTCTTTCTGCAGACTGTAACCTTGTGTCTAGGCATAGGTACATATCTTTCTGCTGACTTTAACCTTGTGTCTAGGGTATAGGTTACATGTCTGTAGACTGTAACCTTGTGTATAGGTATAGGTAACACGTCTGCAGACTGCAACCTTGTGTCAAGGTATAGGTAACATGTCTGCAGACTGTATGAGGGTGGTAATGGGGGTACCATCATGACGAATAACGGTAAAAATTCTAGCCAAATGACGTTAACGGTAATTTTTGGTGCATGACGATAAAATGTACACTTTCTTTTAGACGATAAAAAAAAATCAACTGATTTTGAAGAATCACGTTAAATTTTTTCCAGAAATAATGGTAACGATAATTATTTGAGACCTCTGACGAATCATGATAAGGATATTTTGACGAATCACGGTAAAATTTTAACCAATTTGACGCTAACGGTAGCCGAAAATGACCGATTGACGCCTGACGGTAAAGGGCATTCCTACCCTCCTGTATGTAACCCATATGAGCTAAAACATTGAAAATCTTACTCAGTGTGTCATTCTATTTCAAAACTTTAGATATATTCATTTGCCATTAAGTTAACATGTTATTGTACTAAGAATGTTTGTGATATTTGCCGCTTTACATTAACAAGACATCAATCAAATTCTAAGGGAATACAATAAAATATTCAATCCCCAATATGCTTGACATATGCTAGACATTATTGCATTCAAAAGATTATCCTGTAGGTATTTAATGAATGGAAATTAATTATATAACTTACATATTAATACAATATTGTATACCTGTGTCAATTATGGCATGCCTACTACATCAAATTCTAATTAATAAATACTTATTCATTTCCCCATCCTACACCTGCATTGTTATTTATCAATTACTATCATTAATCTGCCTTATTACAAATACAGCTGATTCTACTTTCATTTCAACAGGAAGTGAATAATACACCTGATAATTAATTATGAATACAATCTACACAACAGCAGGTGGTACTTACCTTAATCATAAACCTGCACTTTAATTAATATCTATTTTAAATTGTATATAATTAATATACAAAGCTTGTGTTGTAAAATATATGCTTATTCAACTGGCATATTATATGAAACGACTCTAATTGATTCTTTTTCAATATGAAGATGATAAATTTGGTTGAATGAAAGGAGTATGTTCGCTATAGGCCCTGAATATAAAGTCCATTGTTTCAAGATAAAAAGTGTTTCAAGTTGAAGAAATAGGTGTAAGAGAGTGAAATATAATTATTTTTGACAAGCCTTTCTTATGAACAGTTCACATTTACACCCCAAACACAGAGATTTATGTGAAAGTTGACAAAATTGTCTGAATATCAACCACATTTCTGTCTATGAAACATAGAGAGCAAGGTTCAACACAGTATTAAATATTCAACTCCGATACAAAATTTGATATAACAAACATATAATGATCAAAACATGTTTTTGTCGACGAATGTACCATGTATTTTGGGTCCTAAAAACCCATGGAAATTTACCTCCTTTCATTGAATTTGAGGTAAAGTTGTGCTATTTTTGATGTCATAAAAAGAAAGCTAATTTATTAATTTTCAACAAAGAGGCACATTTCCTGTCTAGTCATTGTTTTAGCTATGATTTATTATGATAATTAGACATTATATGAAAATCTGAAACCTGTTAACATACTCTGGTTACTGACGCTTTACAGCTTTGCGTAATTGACCTGATATTAAAACTGAAAGTAGATGTTGCATTTTTTCATTTTCCATGATGCCTTAAGGCGTCACACGGCCATTTACCAGGTGATGCCTTGAGGCATCATACCCCTTGAAAGGGTTAATGAACCTACTCCTTTCAAAAGTTTGATTTTAAGTCTCTGTCCTTCCCCTATTAGCTGACACATACCAGACTATTATATTACTACTAACCTTTCTCTGTACTTCCCATGGTTTTGTGATAGCTGACACATCTGATGCTGTCATCATCATTGACCTACATTAATCATACAATTCATTTTTCATTAATGGGTTCTCTCAAGATACATTGGTGACAACAAACTGAGGATAACAAAAGTAAGAAAGCCAATATAATTTTCAATAACCTGAATTTTTCCTACTTTTTCTAAGACTAATTTATATCAATGGCAATTCAAAGGATTAGGTAAATTGGTCTCGAGACAACTTGAAAGAAATCTCTGTGTAAGACAATGTTAAAGACTTATCTGAATATATCTAAATCTAAATTGACTTTAAACTGGAGTAAATCTTTTATATATTCAGCACTAACCTGAGTAAACCTCTATCACTTTCTTTGCTCCAATCTGCTTGTTTATCTTCCACCAAGTGGAAAAATTCTCCTCTGAATCTAAAATATGCCAATTCAATTTGTTAAATTATATTAATTTTATAATTCCTTTGATAAACAAAAGATTTCCCTCATTTTATAAAAACTAGCATTTAAATGTATCGAATCCTGAGTATTGTCTTCTTTAACTTTAAATGATGCTCAGGTAAAGTTGACCGTTGATAAATTTGGCTACTCTTTTTAGGTCGATTTGGTTTTTTTAGCTCACTGCCATTCAGGTATTTAAACACCCTTGCTTTCAAAGTTTGGTTTTGAGCATTCCTGATGGAGAGAAATCAAGAAAAGTGCTTTGGATGCAGGAAATTTATGATTATTTACTTTGGGGAGAGAAAAGTAAAACATTTATCTGTCATATGCATTACATTTTGGAATTACTTAATACAAGAGCTAAGATGCAGTTATTGAGTATGACAAAATGTGCAAGTTAAGCCAACAGAAAGTGGCTCTATAATCTACAGCATTGATGTAAAATAGGACATTTCAAGTTAAAAACTTTACATGTGGTACAATGTTGTTGATGAAATTTTTCTTCAATATTCTTGAACTTCATTTAAATTTTTATAATTTGTCAAAGATTTTATAAAGGACTAGAAGAGCAATGATATAAAAAAGATTTTTGTTGTAATAAAATATCACTTTCATTATAAGGAACAGCTGTACTGTACGCATGTACAATGTATTTGAAAAGTTGCCACTGTCAATTGGTGACTTGATGGTTTCAAAGCAAGTAAAACTGCATTTAAACTAAAGTTCAAGAAGGGTGTTACTTTGTTCTCCTGGACTTTTTGTTTGAAATTAATAAAATGCAATAGGAATATTTGTGTTGAATTTTAATTGTGTGGGCTGAAATCTTGCTTGCTGATCCTTTTTGCTGGACAAAATTTCTGCATAAAATTAAAAGATTTTATAGTTTTAAAGATAATTAGTAAAATAATTGACTTATTTATAAATCTTATTTTGATGATCATTTTTTTATTTGCAATTTCTTTTTATCTACTATAGTTTTTGCAAAAAACCTACAAAAAATGTGAAAAAAAATTGGCATTGAAGGGCAATAACTCCCAATAACTCAAGGAGTCAACTGAAGATTTCAGCCATGAGACCTATTCTAAGATCTCATTTTGATTATCATGTTTGCTATGTTCAGTTTCTTTCTATGTATAATAGTTTTCAAAATACAGTGTAAATTAATAACTAAAATCTGTGAAATTTGCTCAAATTAGACATTTCAGGTGCAATTTCTCCAAAATGAGTTACAGGAGATAAGATTTAAAAAAAAAGTTAATAACCACTAACTGACAACAATGTATTGACTATGACAGATGAATGCCAAGTGATGGTAATAGGGCATATGGCCATTTGGGCCATGTGGGCTTAAATCATTTAAAAAAAAAAAAAACATATCTATCATCCATGACTAAACGTCACCATAAAATATCATTATGTCTATTTTTTATTAAACAATTATTAAATATAATTCTGCTCTAATTTTGGTTCTCAATTTAGAGACAATAATTTAAATTTGTTTATACCACCCTTACAGTCAATTCAGGAATGAGACATATGCATTGTATTTGATTCAGCATCTCAAGATGAGCAATTTACAATTCACATTCATTTCTAACCTTTTTAAACTACAAAATAAACAGATAGCAAACCAGAAAATGTGTTGATGGTTTTATAATAAACATTTTAAGTATGGAACAATCAAAACAAAAGAAATGTTATGTTTTTAAAATTACTTCATGAAATAAACGTTACTCACTTAAAATACAGCGCTAAATCTGTGGCTAAGATGGCACTCTCTAATAACTGTATTACCCGTTCATATTCATCTGGCTTCAAACTACTAAGAATATCATTTCCCTGTAAAATTGTTGTCAATATTCATTAAAAAAAAGTTTCATGAAAATAACTATCATTAGGTGTAAAAATACTCCTTATATATATGTATAAATTGAGATGTGGAGTATATACCAATTAGATAGCAAACAAAAATAAGCAAAAGCCATCTAGAGGGCTATATACAATATTTAATAATAGGCAGGTGTCTATAAAATCTGTCATATTCTAAATACCAAATTCCCCAAATAACCAAAAACATAAACATACAACTACTGATGAGGTTGGATCTGACTTTGAACAGGCAAATGAAAATAATTATATAGTAATATATTTGGTTAAAACTGGTCCTATGGTTTTAGAGAAAATGGTGAAAATGAGAAAGGCAGACAGATTTTAAGGTAAAGTGATAGAAATTGATGACATTGGCCTCACAAGCCCAATGAACTAAAAAAAAAAAATATATCAATAATTATGTCTGCAAATTGAGAATCTAGCTTTATCGATTATACATGTCACACTGGACACTAAGCAAGCAGCAATCAATCAATGATACATGTCAACTAAAATATCTCCAGATGGAAAACAATGACCACAAAAACATCTGCTATAATTTGCTCCTGAATATTTTCAATTGTATGAAAACTGACATTGGCTCAAAGAAAAATATCTAACATCCGACTGTACTCCAATTTTCATAAAATCATGAAAGTCATTATTACAAATCATTATAACAATCTCTGTTTTCAAAGACAACAATTAGTGTCGTCACAAAAATGGTTCCATTACACGATTAAATTTTTTTCCACTGTTTCCTGAGAAAAACTATTCCTCGGAGAGTAATTATTGCACAAAACACAACATATAGGATGGAAGTTAACTTAAATAAGTGTTACTTGAGATGACATTGAACTGAGTACTATCAATATTTCATGACAATAATATCATGTTCACTGTAACTTAGCTCCATTTCAATTTCATTTGTGACATATAAATTCAATTATATGGAATCATAAAAAAATATTTGACAGGGGAAAAAAAAGAAATAATAAATTTTGTTACAAATGACACAGGAGAATCAAAATTAATACTGTAAATTGAGAAATTATTGCAAGGTTTTTGTGATATTTATAATATGTATATCTAATAGTGTTACTAATATATAAAACCGTGTGTACAAATTTCCTAAGGATTCATGAAAATATACCTCCTTTTTTTATATAGATTAGACCGTTGGTTTTCCTGTTTGAATTGTTTTACACTAGTCATTTTGGGGCCCTTTAAAGCTTGCTGTTTGGTGTGAGCCAAGGCTCTGTGTTGAAGGCCGTACTTTGACCTATAATTGTTTACTTTTTATACATTGTGACTTGGATGGAGATGTTGTCTCATTGGCACTCATACCACATCTTCTTATTTATATTGAATTATTGTAAGAAATAATAAAAAAAAAATTTATTTTTTTTAAACAATTTAAGTACCATGAAAATCATAAAAAGAGAGAAATATTTCTTTTAAAAATTGTGACATTGTAATAAAGTTTCAGGGTCTTCATAACAAGAGGCTCCTAAAAGCCTGAATCGTTCATGTGTTGTATTGCTAATCATTTTTGCTGTATACAGTTTTTACCTATCTATTATTGGTTTTTTTTATGATATATGATATGGAAGAACTCTTTAGTTAGTGAAAAATTCTTATTTGAGGGCAATGACTCCAATAAGGATTCATCCAATTATTTCCTTCATATTTGTATTTTGTAGATCTTGTATTGCTGATCATTTTTGCTTTCACAGTTTCTACCAATCTATTATAGTATAAAAAAAAAAACCTGCAAAAATGGGTAAAAGTTGTTTTTCAAGGGCAATAATTCTATAAAAGGTCAATTGATGATTTCTGCCTTGTTGACTTATTTGTAGATCTTATTTTGTTAATCATTATTACCATTTAGAGTTTCTCACAATAGTTTTCGACTATAATAGCATTTAAAAGGCAATTACTCATTGTGTAAAAAATTTGGTAAGAATTTGTCGAAGTACACTTGGGTTATCATGGGTGTGGACTGATGGACAGCATTAAACTATAATGTGTAAAAGGCAAATATCTTATTCAATGAAATGGATGATGAAAAAATAGAATACAAAAAGTTTTTTAATTTAGGAAAATTGTTGGCAAAATTATCCTGTTGTTTAGGAGAAAGTTGTCTTAATCTTTACTGAATGTGAATTTTATATGATGAAGATACAATAAACTGGAAATAATGAAGTATTATATATACTCCCAAATTATCTATAAAACTGCAATAACATTATATTGCATTGCACTCATAGGAATTCAGTTCTTAAAGATACATTCAAAACAAATTGAAACCGATATCTGATAATATTGCGGCAGTAATTGGAGACCTTTTCAATTACAAGCGATAATACAATGTAGTATAAGAGCTAAATTTTCTACCCATAAAATTGTTGCAATCACTAAAAAATTTCAGTATTTCATTTACTTATATAATCAGTTGAATGTTTTGTTTTTTCCTTTAGCACTTCAATATTATATTCAATTACAGAGAGATAAAGCAGGTTCAACTGTTAACAAAGTGTGCTTATAAAAATATGGAAGCTGACATTCTATGATAAAAATCAAAGTTCTGGTCACACAGAATACTGACAGGTATTGTGATATCATCAGGTGTATGAGTTTGCCATGTGAATGTTTCTAAAGTCAGGTAAATATACTAACCTTTGTGCTGAGTATCATAATACACTGATCAAAATGATGATGTTCTAATGTGGATGTGGAATATAATTCTGCTAATGGAGACATTGACCTGAAATAAAAATTTGGTATAAATGATGATCATCTTTACTGTTTACAATTTATACATATCTATTAAAGTTTTTGGAATTATTGGCAAAATTATAGGAATTAGTAAAAAAAAAAGCCATTTATGGGCAATAACTAATTGTAGAACTTATTTTTGTGATATTTTTGCCTTTAAAGCTTCTCTCTTTCCACTATTGTAAGTTTTTGACAAAAATGTAAAACAAAATGGGTAAAAATCATCATTCAGGTGAAATAACTCATATAAGAAGTCAGTTGAAAATTTCTGCAATTTTGAAGATCTTATTTTGCTTAACATATTTGCCAATTACAATTTCTCTATCTATTATGATTTCTACAAAATAAGCAAATAAACTGTTAACACAGAGATATGTCTCGCCTATTGTTATTTTGATAATGCAAATGTTGAAATTAAAATAGGAATACTTTAACATGTAAGTTATGCAAATATTCAAAGTCAATGGACCATGACTGAAGGTACAGGGCTAAACAATCTCCATGGAAATGCTAATACAACTGCAAACCAAATACCATTGACTTTTCATAAGTCGTTCCCTTTAAACAAACCTAAACACAAACATTAACTTGTAAACTATGTAAAAGTTTCAATGTCAATGAACCATAATTAGGGGGTGGGGTTATATAATCTCCATGGAAATGAAACTTGCAAATGCCAATACATTTGCACACCGAATATCATTGACTTAACATTAGTGGTTCATCTTAAACTGAACTAATCACAAACTAATACATGTAAACTAAGCAAAAGTTTCAAAGTCAATAGACCATGACTGAGGGGTAGGGACCAAATATATTCTCCATGGAAATGAGATGTGCTAATGCTTATACAACTGCATACCAATTATCATTGACCTACCACTAACCGTTCCCCTTAAACTGACCTAATCACAAACTAATACATGAAAACTAAGCAAAAGTTTCAAAGTCAATAGACCATAAATGAGGGGGCGGGGCCAAATAATCTCCATGGAAATGAGATATGCCAATGCTTATACAACTGCATACCAAATATCATTGACCTACCACTAGTGATACCCAATAAACTGACCTAATCACAAACTAATACATGTAAACTAAGCAAAGTTTCAAAGTCAATAGACCTTGACTGAGGGGGCGGGGCCAAATAATCTCCATGGTAATGAGATGTGAAAATGTTAATACAACTGCATACCAAATATCATTGATCTACCACTAGTGGTTCACTATGAACTAGACCTAATCACAAACTAATACATTGTTGACACTGCCGCCGCCGCCGGAAACAGCATACCTATGTCTGGCTTTTTGACTCCGTCAAGGCGAGACAAAAACCCTATTTCAAGGAAAATAACTCATAAAAGGACTCAATGAGAGAGATTTTGGATGCACCAGCTATGCATTCTTAAACCTACTCAACGACTCAATGAGAGAGATTTTGGATGCACCAGCTATTTTTTTTAAACCTACTCAACGACTCAATGAGAGAGATTTTGGATGCACCAGCTATGTACTCTTAAACCTATTCAACGACTTAATGAGAGATTTTGATGCACCAGCTATGTACTCTTGAATCTAGTGAACTCAACGACTCAATGAAAGAGATTTTGGATGCACCAGCTATGTACTCTTGAACCTAGTGAACTCAACGCCTCAATGAGAGAGATTTTGGATGCACCAGCTATGTACTCTTGAACCTAGTGAACTCAACGACTCAATGAGAGAGATTTTGATGCACCAGCTATGTACTCTTGAACCTAGTGAACTCAACGACTCAATGAGAGAGATTTTGGATGCATCAGCTATGTACTCTTGAACCTAGTGAACTCAATGACTCAATGAGAGAGATTTTGGATGCACCAGCTATGTACTCTTGAACCTAGTGAACTCAACGACTCAATGAGAGAGATTTTGGATGCATCAGCTATGTACTCTTGAACCTAGTGAACTCAACGACTCAATGAGAGAGATTTTGGATGCACCAGCTATGTACTCTTAAAACTAGTGAACTCAACGACTCAATGAGAGAGATTTTGGATGCACCAGCTATGTACTCTTAAACCTAGTGAACTCAAAGACTCAATAAGAGAGATTAAAAACAGTTTTATCATAAACCAAAGGGAATAAATCTTGAAGTTAGTTCTATTTATAAAACACAATAAGATCTGTGATAAATTGAAGGAAATGTATGATAAGCTGAAAAAATTTCTTATCAATCTCTGATTTCACCTGGATGGCTACATGCACCTGATGAAGCTAGTTTGTCTAGTGAAATATTGCGTGAATCTATAAAATATTGCAACTATTTAGCGTGTTTAATTTACATTCTTAGGCATTCATTTACTTTAGTTTAGTATCTGCATCAGTTTATTTTCAAACTGATCCAGGCCAAGATAGATTGAATGTTGATTGTTGCTATTTTTGAGATCTAACAAAAAAACCAATAATTTATGACAAATTTGACACTCATAATCAATTTGGAATAGCATATCATACATATGCCTATATATCAGCATATCTTGAAATCATAGTGCAATGAGGTGTTATTCAAAATTTGTATTTTTCTAACAAAAACTTAAGTTTCTGAGGCAAATTTGTATTTCAAACTTTCCATTTATTAATATTTACACTGTGCATTAAAAAATTATAAGCCATAGAAATTCTGAATAACAGACGGACAGACACAGATTACTATATGGATGGATGGATTGATGTTTAGTGTCAAGCGGCAAATAAAATGATATTCAGGATCAGAACATGCTAATGCAATGTGAATAAGAACCCTGCTTTGTACCAGACGGACAAGCTGAGTCAGATTTATAATGTGCTAGTTCATCAGGTAACAGTCTGCAGGAAGACCTTTCCAGGTACTTCTGAATCATAGGGAGAAGTGACTTCTCTTTTTGAAACTGAGAGGGAGAAGTGGTGAGATTTGAAAGAGAAGAGCTCATTCGCTTGCGGCTCTACAATGTTTGGTTTTTTACTTTATAATACAAAGGGCCATATGTATCTTATTTTTTTTTTATATTGTTCAATTTGTACCTGGGTATACAATTAAAGTAACCATGGTAACAGTTCAAATTCAAAGTTTTTTAATTTTATCATATCTAGTTGCACAATCATATTAGTCCTCTTGTCAGAAAAAAACAATTAAATAAATAAAAAATTTGTAAGGGTTCCGCAGAACCCAGTGTCTCGCCTACTTTTGCTGTTAGTCACTGGCTCAACAAAAATGGGGAAAAAATTATTAAAAATTTTCCTCTAAATACTATCTTTTGATTGTAAGAAGCTTCTATCCAAGTTTGATAAAAATCCAGGATGGTTTATGAATCTAATAAATGTTTTAAAAACTTTAACTGCAGACTGTATGTAATGTTAACTGGAAGAAAAACTAAGTCCATTTATAAGTAATATACGGTAAAACAGGAAATAAATTTTTACAAAAAGATTTATTTTATATCAAAAAGGAGAAGAAAGTTGTCATATCAATTAAAATTCAATTTAAAACTACTCTGTTATCAGTGGGTCTCATTGGGGTCTAAGCGTGACACGGGATTGCCGATTTTTTGTAAGCGTGACATGTGAAAGTCAAATTATTGTGCCGTGAAAAAGGAAATGAAGTCTAGCAGGACACGGGAAATTACAAAAAAAGTGAGAATTGCTTACATACATAGTTTAAGCGGGATACGGGAATCTGACAAAACAGTAAGCGGGATCTGGGATCAGAACCCCTCATCATGTTTATGAAATTAAGTATTTCTCATTAAAAAGATATATAAATTTAACAGTTTTATTAAACACAGTTAAGCTTGGACATAATATAATTATATTAGTGTAATAGTCCCAGAGTTGAGCAACTTTAATTTATAAATTGAAACAATGCATATACATGGAAATATATACATTAATCAAGTAGATCTAACCAAAAGTATGTTAATGCTTGTGAAATGCGTAATTTTTCCTTTTGGGATCAATTTTCTCTGTCAGCTGTGCCATTCATGCGTCTGAAGTTATTCGTTCTAATGAAGTAACAAACTTATTTTGCCGAAAATTAGAATGATTTGATGTACGCTCTCGAGTAACAAGTACCGGAAGTAATAAAAAATTTGTCTTTATGAAAATAACATGCAATCAACTTTAAAATCAATGCTTCAACCTCTTTTCTAAAGAAAATAAATCATTTATGTCTTTGAATTTCTTTACTTTTAAATGAAAAATTGCTGTTTCATCGACTTGGTAAATGTCGATGACGAAATGCGACTTAAAGCAAGTATCGTGAACAATAGGGCGACTAGATTTCACTTTTGACAGTCGGGCAAAGTGAAGTGACGGACATGAAAGCGACTTTGTCGCTCCAGTTGCCTGCTAGCGTGAGCCCTGCTTTCACTCTACCCGGACACAACATACTAACTCCAAGCAGACTTGTGTTTGCTCTTTCTACTTAATACTGTTTGTTTGGTGAAGAAGCAGCAAATACCAATTTTAAATTCTTTTGTTTGACCCAGTAAGGGATCGAACCCACCAACTCCCGAATTTGTACTTCAACGAGACAACCAATGCAGTAAGATTACTATAGGACACCAGTGATAAATCAGTGTGGCCCTTGTAAGTTTGCTATCACACATACAATACAGACTGACAGACATCCTCTTCTTAAAAAAGTATTTTCATCTCATTTGTACCATAGGGTGCAACAACTCTCAAAAGTATACTTGTATCATACCTGTTTAAGAACTGATTGTTGACCCCTCGGTGGTCTAAATCATGACATAAACAGCCAACCATTAAGGCTAGTCTTTCACAATCTGTCAAAACATTGTCCATTTGTCCTACCTAAAAACATGAAGATAATATTAATAAATTTAAATTTTACTTTGACAGACATCTCAGAAAAATATTTGTGTATGGTCTTATACAATTATAGCCTTTGTATGAGGTCGATACAAGGTTATATTGACCCAAAAGAAGCATATTGACTGAGGACAAAGTCTGAGGTCAATATGTTTCTCTAGGTCAATATAACATCGTATTGACCTCAACAACTTTTGCATGAACAATGTAAATTTGGGGATTTCTAGAATGTATTTTTAATAACATGCTGTATGCCCTGTGCAATATACTGTTTTTGACATACGAAAAGCTAAACATAACAGTATTGGCGTGTAGCCTGAGTAAATACAAATGTACATGTATAAAGTTTTAACAAATCACAAATACTTAAAAATATTCAATTAATAATATTAATACTTATCATTGATTAATTATATTGGGTTCAGAATTTGGGCTGATCTTGATTTACTGATCTATCCTTGGATCCCAAAACTAAAAAAATACATATCTCTGTATACAGATAATTACTTTTAATGGATACAAGGTGCTGAAAGCATAGCTCCTGCTACTGTTAATTCATTGGAAACATAACACTGAAGGCCAACTCTTGGCATATAAAGCATAGCTCCTCTTACTGATAATTTTTTCGAGCATAAAAAGTATTGAAAGCAAGCATATCACCTTCTATGGATAATTTATACAAGGGATACAAAGCAATGGAAGCCTATCTCCTGTAGCTGACAAATAATTTTAGCATACAAAGCCCAGAGAGCACATGGCCTTATACTCATAATCATTCAGAGCATACAAAACCTGGCAATGAAAGCCCATGTCCTCTGATTGGTTATTACTCTAGGCATACATAGAATATATACTGCTACTACAAATACTCTGAGCATATAAGACACTGAAAATGTATCTCCTGCATCTAGTAATAACACTAAGACATTAACAAAGCATTAAAAGCATTATCCCGAAAAAGATAAGTATTCTATGCTTAAAGCATCACTACATAAGACTTCACATTTTAATGTTAGTCACCATGTGACAACAATGGCTTTCCTATCAAGAAAGTATGGCTGTTACTATAAATAATTACCCTGAGCATACAAAACATTGTCTGTGCCACATTGAAAGCATGTCTCCAGTTATGATATGTCACATTCCTGTAATTTTTCTTCACACTCAATAACCATCGACATAATGTCTAAAAGAAAAAGAAAATGGTAAGTATAAATGCAATATACAATTCGATCATAGGCCCTGAATTTACTCTAATATTTTGATTATCTGATGTTTATGCAAGTGCATCATTTAACCCTTTATCTAACTCCCTTTAAAAACATAAATTTTGATTAAATAAAAGAACAGAGTTCCAATGTCCCCCACGTTGCACATATTTTATCTATCCAAGGTACAAAGGCAATAACTAAAAAAATCACTTTTTGTTGTTATTTTTTTTATTAATATCTAAAGAGAAATGAAGGCTTCAGAGCAAATGCAATGTGATTTCCATTATAATTTATATTTCCAAGGGGCATAACTCATCAAAAATATTTGATCAGAACTTATATTCGAAACTGTCAAAGACATTGCTGATATAAACCTATGATATAAGTTTCATTAAATTGCCATTTTCCATATAATCAATATTTTCAAGGGGCATAACTCTTTTAAAAATAATTGATCGGTTCTGATTTTTGAACTCCTCAAGAACATTGATGATATAAACCTATAATATAATTTTTTTTTAAATCTGGCAAGAATTGTACCAATTTTCCATATAATTAATATTTCCAAGGGCATAACTCTTTTAAAAAATTATTGATCGGCACTGATTTTCAAATTCATCTAAGACATTGCTAATATAAACCTATAATTTAAGTTTCATAAAATTCTGGCAAGAATCGTACATATGAGAGCGCTAACAATGCAATTCTCCATATAATTTATATTTCCAAGGGGCATAACTCTTTTAAAAATAATTGATCGGCACTGATTTTTGAACTCATCTAAGACATTGCTGATATAAGTTTCATAATAAACAGCTGCGCCATGAGCGCATGATACGCCCGTCGTCTTGTGTGTGAATTTTTATGCAATAAGCATAAATAGTTTCTGACATACGGCGTGACATGCGAAAAACCCCCCTTTTTTTTTTTACAAAAAACTCAATATCTCTAAAATAAAATTTTGAATCAAAACCAAAAGTATACAGATCTTTAGATTAATATAACTAAGAAGTGTGTAAAATTTTAAGCAATAATCATAAATCGTTTTTGAGATACGCCGCCACATGTGAAAACCCCCCTTTTAAAAAAAAAAAATCAATATCTCAAAAATAAAATTTTGAATCAAAACCAAAAAGTATACAGATCTTAAGATTAATGTAACTAAGAAGTGTGTAAAATTTTACGCAATAATCATAAATCGTTTTTGAGATACGGCGCGACATGTGAAAAACCCCTCCCCCTTTTTTTACAAAATACAGTCGAACCTCGTTGTGTCGAAGTCGAAGGGACTGGACCAAAGTATTCGACACATCCGAGGTTCGACTCATCCGAGGTCGAGTGTGTCTTCATAAATTTGGAATGCATGAAATACGGTATGAGATTTGTGTAAACTAGATACAATGAACAGTGTGCCTTTTTTCGATATGACACTTTATAATTGTGTATTCAATCTCCATTTTTTGTCATTCATAATAATTAAACACACAATTACAGATACAAATCATGCACAAATAAAATCTATAGTCTACACAAATATTTACAAAGGTCGGTCACTATAAATTATGAAATCACTCGCGGAACAAATTAAGTTATGAACGGTCTCTGATGAGCCAGAGGTCGTCTGCTTTACATTAAATTATCACGAATTTATCATAATTGTCCTTATACTTTTATTTATTGTAATTAATGAGTTTTAAATCTAACGATTCATTTAAGCTCGGCTTGGGTCATTTAAGTTCGTTTTGTTTTGATCTGATGTTAAAAATGTTCAACACACTAACATTCCGCTTGAACGATCAACAAAGGTGTTAATTACCGGTCACCATAACATGTCATTTTAACTGTTATACAAACAAGTATGTTTACTCAGCTTTAATCTCTATTGAAAATGATTAGGTTACATCAGAAATACATCCAATTTGAATTTTTATCATTAGGTCTGCATCTTTTGAAAATTCTTACTTTCGAACTTCGAGTCATCGGGGTCAATTTAAATGAGTTTTAAATCGACGGGACTATAAAATTTACTCAACTTAACTGAGTATTCGAATCAACCGAGTTCGACTCATCAGAGGTAATTATGCATTGATCAAACGGGAATTTTACCGGGACCGAGAAATTACTTCGACTCATCCGAGTTTTCGACACAACCGAGTTCGACACAACGAGGTTCGACTGTACTCAATAACTCAAAAATAAAATTTTGAATCATCACCAAAAAGTATACAGATCTTAAGGTTAATATAACTAAGAAGTGTGTAAAGTTTTAAGCAATAATCATAAATAGTTTTTGAGATACGGCGCGACATGTGAAAAAAACACACACCTGTTTTAGTTACTAAGTCCTGTAACTCACAAAGTTTTAATCTTATTTTCACCAAAAAGTATACAGATCGTTTGACAATCATAAGAAACAACTATGTTAAGTTTCATGAAATTTGGATAAGTCATTCTCAAGTTACGGTGCGACATGTTTACGCCGGACAGACAGACGGACAGACAGACGGACACACAGACGGACGGACGCTGGACATTTGTATACCATAATACGTCCCGTCAAAATTTTGAGGGGCGTATAAAAATCTGGCAAGAATTGAACACATGAGAGCGCTAACGATGCAATTTTCCATTAACTAATGATTCCACAGGCCATAACTCCTTGAAAAATAATTAATCGGCACTCATTTTCAAACTCGTCCAAAACATTGCTAATATAAACCTATGATATAAGGTTCATTAATATCTGGCAAGAATTGAACACATGAGAGTGCTAATGATGCAATTTTCCATAAAATTAATGTTTCCAAGGGCCATAACTCTTTGAAAAATAATTGTTCGGCACTGATTTTCGAACTCGTCCAAGACATTGCTGATATAAACCTATGATATAAGTTTCATAAAAATATGGCAAGAATTGAACACAAAAGAGCGCTAAGGATGCAATTTTCCATTAATTAATGTTTCCAAGGGGCATAACTCTTTGAAAAATAGCTAACCGGCACTGATTTTCGAACTCGTCCAAGACATTGATAGACGACATAGATATAAACCTATGATATAAGTTTCATAAAAATATGGCAAGAATTGAACACAAAAGAGCGCTAAGGATGCAATTTTCCATTAATTAATGTTTCCAAGGGGCATAACTCTTTGAAAAATAGCTAACCGGCACTGATTTTCGAACTCGTCCAAGACATTGCTAATATAAACCTATGATATAAGTTTCAGACAAAATATGGCAAGAATTGTACATTTGAGAGTGCTACCAAGACCAGACAGACGGACAGACAGATGCCCAGTATTTTCATGTTTCCTGCAACGCATTACGCTGGGGACAATAAAAATACATGACAAAATCTTCATTACCTTCAGAATCAATCCTGAATTAACATCAGTCCTCAGGCTGATATTGCTTACTTGATTTGATACACATTGTGATACAGAATTTTCTGTTTCGTGAATTCAAATAAATCTTTTGAGAGCACACAAAGATGATTAACCCTGCCACAGTCTTTATTTAACCTGTCCCAAGCCAGGAGCCTGTATTGATGTGGTTATTGTCTGCCATATATTTTTTTCATTTACTGTTATTAGCTTAATCAAGCCATTGGTTTTCTCTTTCAAATTGTTTCACATCTTGTTGTCCAATGGGTCTTTTATTGCTTACTATACAGTTTGGGTTTTGCTCAATGATGAAGGTCGTACTGTGGCCTGTTGTTGTTAATATCCTTATCTGTTGGTCTTTGATTGATAGTTTTCTCTTTGGCAATCATATGATTTTTAAAGTAAAATTTTCCATAATATTAAGATTTTGTAAGAAAAGAAAAAATAAATAAAGACAGACAGACAGACACATTGATTGATATCATTTTAAAAAAAAATTCAAGTATGGATTGTTATGTGTGAGAAAACTTATGTAGGTTACCTATTTAATGTCTTTAGAAATAAAAATTTACAATCCTAGAGTTAATTTATTCAGAGAATATGGTTTAACCATCACTTAAATAAACTCTTGAAACTGATTTCAATATTAAATCACCATGTTAAGTTGACTATTTAAATGTTACAATATTTAAGTATTTATAAATATGATCGTGAATGGAAAATGGAAATATTCAGTTATATTTAATCCGTTATGTAGTAACAATGAACTTAATGGCGTTTTTATATTTCACAAGTACAGAGAATTCGTAAAGCAGCAAAGTTCAATAACCAATATCTGGTATCTCAAGGTTACTTTTACAATAAACATGTCTGATTACCATAAGCGTACTTAATTTGTTTTTTCGAGTTTTTCAGAGGAATATGAATAAATGCTAGCCTCATTTATCAATATGTTTAAGGACGCACAACGTTAATAAAATTTGTTTACATCTTTATTTCTTTAATACGCAATACCTTTCTAAGTTCTGGAAAATATATTAATACAGTTTTACAACAAAAAAGATCCTGTGAAAAATGTTATGTGCAAGTTTTATATATGACACACTTTAAGTGGTGAATCTTAATTTTTTGACTTAGTCAAAAATGCTATATAGTATAAATCTGTATATAATTGAACAGTAATGATTGAATACTTACCTCATAGTTAATTCTGAATTTGTCCACTAAATTGAGATCTTGGAACATTCTGATACTAGCTTTCAATGTGTCATCATCGTCAAGATTAAAATCTATGAATGAGTAATCTAATAAACCATATTCCTGAGATGAAAGTATGGGCATTTTCTGAAAAATAAACCATAATCCCTGAGCTATTAGTAAAGGGGATTTTCTGAAAAGTAAACAACATTTGTTAGCTGATAGATATTCTGAACAATAAACCGTATTCTGAGTTGTTAGTTTTGTTTTTATTTTTCAAGCTAATCCCTATGCTTTGACTGTTAAGGTTTAGCAATATGTTACAAAATAGACCATTAGATGTTTTTAGGTTATTTGTGTCTTTGGGTTTCTGCCTAATCCACATCTTCTTTTATTCAATTTCATTCAGAAAATTTCATTATTATTTTTTTTAAACTTTAAAATTGCAACTTAATAGAAAACACAATAGTTAACACAAAGCTTGGGAGATTGACACATTTTAGTCCAACTCCTGATATTTCATGCATACATAGGATGTGAATAAACATAAACAATGTATTAAACTTGTCTTAACCAAGGAGAAAGATGAAATACACACAGGTGTTGACTTTTGACTGCTATTGAAAAAGTTAGAAAAGGTGGGTAGGTGTCAACAAATTTAGCTTTTTATGGGGTCCATAACTTGTCTTCTATAAAACAGGTCAGCTGAATATGAATGGATAATAGCCTTCTCCAAAAATGACATACTATGTTGACAGTTTTCAATATATTCTAACCAGTAAGTCCCCAAAAAGAGAGCATATTAGTTCATTTAGTATCCTGGGTACCAATTTTTATGGACAAATGGTATTGACAAGTTATGAAGACAAGTCAAATTTAGGAAATTTGTCTTTTGTTGAAGTCTTAATTTTTGGTTCACTTAATCAAATCTAATCTTACTTGAAGTACAAATTTTCAAATGATTTTTACAAATACTGTAATTATTTAATTAAAATGCATTCTACAATTTTTACCATAGCATGGCATGCTAAACTACTAAATAAAATATTTTGATCCCTGTCATTTTCAATCTTCATGTATTATCAACACTAACCATTAACACATATTATTAACACTAACCATTAACTTGTATTATCAACACTAATGTTAACATGTTTTATTAACACTAACCGTTAATCTCTTTGCATCATCTGCTGGTGCTGAAGCATGATATGACAAACACTCCAGTGCCACTTGTTGCTTAGCAACAGCTCTCATTACTTTCTCATACATTTGTGTATTGTCTATACCCATACCACAAAATATTGCAAAGGCCTGAAATCAGAAAAATACAATGTGTAATGTAGGTTTTTGTAAATGAGAGGCGAAAGATACCATACGGATATTCAAACTTACAAGTTGAAAACAAGCTAACAATGCCATGGCATAAAACGTGAATGGACCAAAAGACAAACAACTAAGGACTACTTTAGACTGTAGAGATTCAATGTTTGACCTTGAACTTCTGCATCTACCCAGTGTAATGGATTTGCAAAAACTCTTTTACAGACATTTCCTAGTGTTATCTTTGTAATGAAAACATACTTATTCATCCTTATGACAACATTTGTATTAACATATTTTTTCTAAACAGCAAAGCATTAGCCATACCCAATCATTATACCAAGGTCAAGGTCCGAACACACCATTGGGTCATTGACAATTGCATTAGAATCATATTACAAAATGTGACAGTAAAAATATATGATTCCAGTACATTCATGTAGTTGTAATCTACTAAAACTTAGATTGATTGATTGATTGGTGTTTTTAACCCCACCTTCAACACTATTGTGCTATTTCGTGGTGGTCAGTTTTTATTGGTAGAGGAAGCCAGCATGCCTGGAGAGAACCAACGACCTTAGGTAGGAAAACTGACAATTCTAGACAATTAAGATTGGAGTCGAGTGCACCTGTAACATCATTGGGGCATGATGTCATATTTTGAATAACGTCATTGTTGGGCATGCGATGTCACAGACATCCAGCTGTCATATTTTCTGGCACACAACATGCAACCAAATAAAATTAGCGGCAGCAAGAGCTTAAATAAAAAGAAATAAATGAATGGACAGACAAATGGACAAGATCATTTATCTGTAGCCCATACCTGTGGGTGCAGTATAAAAACAAGCACAAAAAGTATCAATATGTTGGTCAAGTACTGTAAACAGGAACCAAATGAATCTGCTGGAATTTTCCAGAATTTTAGGATTTTCCAGAATGTGTAGGAACATTAGTACTTTTTATTTCTTTTTTGTGTGATGAAAAAAGGTCGGAATCATGCTCCTATTAAAGCTTTCTTTATACAAAGAAATTTCATGACTAAAGATATTGGAAATTAAAAATGATATCGGAAGTTATATTGAAATACAATTGCTCCCTCTAGCCCACCTTTTTTGAAACTTATTAAAATCTTCAATGAACCTGAAATTAACTAGAGAGTACATATTTAATCCCTTTAACATGATCTAATAAAGTACGCCATAACACTATAGTTGATCTTCTTAAAGAAAATGAAGATGACATTCTGAAAGCTTTCACAAGCAATTGGACAAACACAGCAATGAAAACCTGATTTAAACATGAAACGGTCAAATCACCTGTAGATAGAACACAGAAAACCCATTTCAAATCAGATAGCATGTTATTATAGTAGAAAGAACAGAAAATGTGTAAGGTTATTTAGGGTAATATTGAGTTATTAAACAATAGTCGAAAAATCAATCAATCTTTGTATACCAAGAAAAACATGTAGGTTCAAACTGAAATTCCCGGTAGTGTTCAGAGAAATTAACATTGTTTGTTCACATTTTTACTATCCATAGCTATAAACCAGACCTGTGACAGAGTTATGAGTCACAACTGGCGATTCGAAATTTTTCAGCTGTACATGTTATAGTGACATTTTTGTCAAAAAGCAGCAGACTTGAACTTTTAACAGGAGGGAGGGAAAAGTGGATAAAATTAAATCAGAAATTTTGACTTCTACCAGAAAATCACAGGTATGCCAAACTCAATATTCAAACCTACTCATTCCAAAAATGCCAAACCTTTAAATGTATAGGACCTATGCAGTTATTGAAAATTTTGTTATAATTGAAAATCCTGATACCATTAAGGTCACTCAATGAGATCCTCAAATCTAACTTCCAAAATCAATATCGCTGAATGATGCTTAATCTGATCATCCTACGTTTATATCAATAATCACAGTTGATAAGTCCTTAATTGGTCTAAAGATCAAATGGCTTATATATGTAACGGAAATTATAGACGATGTCAAAAGAGATATGAAAGATTGCCATGATTTTACCTTAAGGTATTCTTCAACTGATGTAACGAGCTTCATGATGGTAAATTAACTGTAATGATTTAATAATCTTCTTTTTTCTGTAGTGACTCCCTTTATTCAAAGAGGACAGAATGCAATACTTTTGTCTCCCACTATTAATTTTTTTTACTTTAATAACTTTATTTTGTGTATATAATGACTAATCCTACCATAGTACAAACCTTACTCAAAACTGAATTATAATCATTCAGGAGAAGTTGGTTCATTCACAGCAAAAATAGAAGGAAAACGAAAAAATTTAGTAGAAAATCTGCCATAGTTTACATTTTTCTCAGTTTCAAGAATCAACAACAACAAAAAGTCTTGAAGAAAGGTTCGTGAATTTGTCATATTAATTATACTGGTAGTTCTTTCTTTGGTTAGTGTGTTGTTTTTCCGTGAGAGATGACTCATTAGAGATCAGATGCCTAATGAAACATAGTGATTTGTTTAAAATCTCAATTTTGTTGATAATTAAATTTGTTTTTGACACAAAAACATGTTTTCGCCAATTTCCTTCTTTCTTCAGTTAAACAATAAAGTCATCAGATCTGTATAAAACTTCAAAATAAACAACCACGTGTGTCATGAAGCAATTCTGTTAAGTTTAATGCCATATTACAATATAAACTGTATGACATTTTTTTCTTAAAGCAAATGTCCCTCATTGTATGTAAAAATGATAAAGATAATGAAGCAATTAAAGTAATTGAAACAAAATGCTAGGACAATATGATCACATACACATCATAGATAACATCTTATCAAATATGAAAGCTATTAGATAATTTCAGACCTCAGTGAAGCTGCATTTACATGGTATAATAATGTACATGGCAAAAATAAACAGTTGTAGGCCATTACTACATTTTACTACCGTTTTACTTTAGATGTTAAAAACCACTTATTCAGACAAAAACTTCTAAAGTGAATGGATTGAAGGACGAATGAGGACAAAGGGGATTTTTAGTATGTCACTCTTTCGTAATATAATAAAGAAACAAAAAAGGGTATACATCAAAATTTGCATGAATATCTTTCTGATCCCCTTTATCCAGCATAATGTGTAATTTGTGCATACATGAATCTCAAAAATCCTTCCTAAGCTGCTGTAATTTACACAAAAGAACAGAGCATTATATTTTTTCTTCATTAATTCTAGACCCGGAAATGCATTAGCTGAGTTGCAGCAAATAAAAGAATTATGGTAATACAATCATTTTACTAGTGGGAGTACACAACACATTTTAAAAGATGATGAAGGTTACAAAGTTTTGATGTATGATTCAATGCATCTGGAAACTGAGTTTTTATCACTAGTTAGAAAGAAGAAGGTTCGGTTCACACAACGAGTTTACAATTACCCAAAAAAATTGAAAACTCAAATAATTGTACCATTTCTACAGAAAATATTTTAATATATCAGTTTTATTTTGCTATATTTTCTATGACATTTACGACATCATAACAATAAATTCTATGAGAAAATCTACCTACTAAGGGCATATGATTTGGGTTTTTCATGATTTTTTGAGGATTTCTGAAGTATTGGTTACATGTTATAATCATAATGATATATCATTTAACAAAGCATGTATGTACATTACTTTACACCTTTTGACCGTAAGTTTACTTTGGTTAGAAAGTTATATGGCCAGCATTTTCCAAAAGGATATATGACAAATATATGCCTAAAGAGTCGATTTTCCCATAATATCCTAATATATTGAATTTTTTAAAGGATTTGTTTGTATTTTAGTAAAAACTCTCAAAACATTTTGAAAAACATATCATTGCTTTGTGGTGCACAGCATTCAAAAACCAAAATGTCCCTCAAATTATATTCTTTTAATGCTTAAGTGACCTAGATCTCAAATCTAGTGGAAAAAGGTAACTAGGGGCAATGTCAACCAAAGTCTGGTCAAGTTCTTATGAATACGGCACAAAGCATGGTTGTCACTATCAAAGTTACCTTGGTCAAAGTTTTCCTTGACCAGGTAAACTTGGTGCAAGTCATTGGTTGTCACAATCAAAGTTTTTCGTCAAAAAACTTGAGTCAAGAAAAAAACTGCACTGCGATTGGATAATTCCCATCCAAGACCATCCAAGTTTCAAGAAAAATAGGATAAGACTCTATTCCATCTAAGTACATCAAAGTTTTCTTTGATGGTTGTATCTTTAAAAAAATCCATCAAAAATTTTGACGAAGAAAACTTTGATAGTGACAACGAGCCTCAAAAGATGATATCAGGAATGTGAAATGCAAACCAATGTATCTATAGTTTTATTGGTATTTATACCAGTATCTTTACATTTGAAGTCACCAACAAATATTAGATGATAGTACAGAGATACATAAAACCAATCTATACTATAATCAAAATCATAGCTACATCACAACCCAGCTGACAAATTAATCTGAACAGAAGTTACAATGCAGAAAATAATGGGTCTATGACCATATACAACAGCATTTTTTCCATCCTTTCATTAAAGGTCACAGCATGCATTAAATATCATAAAAGAAACTCAACTATCTTTCCATATTTCGGCAGAAAATAATACTGACAATTGTCATTGAATAATCCTCAAATGACTTTTTAATGAGAGTACTAACAATTCCATTTTTAGGAATTAATTACCTCAAAGAGATTCTGATCATTTTTGTTGAATGATGACCCGTCAAGTTTGTTGATGAGTTGTGCCACACCAATGACACGACCCTGAGCATTTTTAATTGGCATACAAAGTATTGATTTTGTCTTGTACTTAGTTTCTTCGTCAACCTGAAAAAAAAACATGAAAAGACAACTATAACATTACTTGTTAAAATACTATTTCTGTTTGATCTTTAAATGAATTGGTTATTTGATAAATAAATGCAAATATGTTTTATTATTCATTCAGTGACTGAAATTCACTGAATGTTGGATTTCTCTTCACATGCTTAGTTTCAACCTCCAGGATTGATAAAAGCAAGACAAATCTGTATATCTATTTATTTCTTTTTCTTCAAGAAACTAGCTGCATCTTCAGCTTGTGGTACAACTTGCATGAAATGAGATTGTTTATCTTGTTTTCTATTGCAACCACAGTACAGTAGGTTTAAAGTCTAATTACTGTAATACACAAAAAGTAAGGGTGATTGCATGATGAGTGGTTTTGAAGTTCCAAAAACAACTGATGTAAAAAATAAAAACTGATTCAAATATGAAATTTTTAATTAAGAATGCTTAAAGAACTGCACTTTATAAACATTGATTTTTACATAACCATATTTGAAGGAAACAAATTTCTATCAGTTTTCCGTCATTAACTTTAATTAAAGTGCAGTTAGCGATTTTCAATTTTTAAAAACTTTGGTCATTTGTTAGAAAAAAAGAAGTTTTGTGTATTTTGCTTAATAAAGACATTATATAACAAATCTTAGAAGCAATTTTTCAATAACCAAATTGGTTTAAAAACCTAGAAGTATTAATTTTTAATAAAGAAATCCCTTTTTTTGCCATTGTTGAAGATGCATCAATAATAATGTAATAAAAGTATAGTCTAAAGGAAAACAATAGTTTTTTTAACTCAACACTTTAACTGAGTTTATTTCTGAACAGAAAACAAAGTTACAGAACATTTCCACATACATTTTCATAATTCAGATGGTAATCTTATTATTGCTAGAATTCAACGGGGTAACATGTACTTTTCTGCAGCAAAAAGTGAAACTATAAGACACATCAAACAATATAAAGAGAGTAATTTATATTTCATCACCAGTTCACTAGAGACAAAAGTATTCCTTTCATATATAATATGTACTTTTGATAGAAATCTGATAAATACCAAACAATATATATTACATCAACATGAGACAGATCTCTGTGGAGGTGTACTATAAACAGCTTGGACTACAAACAGATGATGTTGACATTAATCTAGTCAAATTCAATATTATACAGTTTTTGCAAAGATGTTTTTTTCAATTTCCGATATTTGTCTGTTTTAAACTATATCCATCTGTCCAGCTGTTTGAGATGCCTTGTATAAATATGTACTTTAGAGACTAAGCTGTATATGTCACATGCTTTGCCCTTTCTATACATCATCATGCTTAACATTAAATCTAATCAATATTTCTGGAATGTCTGTGTGAAAACTTTTTTTTTGTTCTTAAAAACATTTCCCTCAAAATAAAGGGGGTAGGGGGGGGGGGGGGGGGGGTAGTCATTTGGTGTAATATCTATTGAAAATTTGAGAAGCAAGCAGGGATGAAAAACAACAGAATATCCAGAAGTAACCTATCATATAAAGAAAAAAGAACAAAGAAAAAACAAAAAACTCTTGAACTACATGTTAATCAGAAAAGCTAATTTTTTAACAGCAAGTACTTTGAAAGCTATACCAATACAAAAAACAAACTTAAAACTGAACAATGTAATTACATTACATAAAAAGTAACAGCTAGCTATATAGAGCCTCTCACTCTATTTGAAAATGAAATTCATGACACATAATGCTTTTCAATGGGCATTCTCAAATACTTCTTAATATTATACTCCTACTCAGAAAAGTTCATACTAAGTAAACAATTAAAAAATACAAGTTACTGGATTGAAGGGATAATATAAGTTATCTACGTTCATATCCATAGATATGGATATTTTAACACCCTGAAGTATCCAAGTACACCCTGAGGTGCAGCCGAAGGGTGTACAGGGTACTGAAGGGTGTTAAAATATCCATATCTATGGATATGAACGTAGATAACGAATTTATCCCCGGTCTTAGTCTAAATCTGGCGATTTTTAGAGAAATTCGACCACAAAGTTAAACGTGAAAGCAATGTTTTTTTCATTTTTTAAATATCCTTTATTGAAATTTGGGAATTTGACATATTTTTAACGGGATTTAGGGTTCTACCTTTGGTAGAACACTACAGGTAGACAAATATAAGACGTTTTTAAACTAGAGACAGAGAAACTGAAATGGGTCGAATTTGGCGCGCAATGTTGTGAGAGTTACATCATAAACGGTGTGACATCAACGTGGGTCATTTGCATAGCTAGGTCAGTAGTACCATTCATGCCAATGTGGCTGCATAGTGATGCATTTATTAAAATGAGTGCAAATAATCGATATAATAAGATAAAATCGTTAGTGGATTAAATATTTAATTATACAGACATCATGGAAAATCTACAGAATTCGATATTTCATAAGGAACAACCATGGAACTAAGGAAAACGGGCGTGAAATTCCCCGATGTAATGGGTAGCAATGTCTGGGGATATGGGTTAGCAACACCCAGAGGCTTAGTGGGTTTTGTAACGACGTGCGTTAACCAATCAGAATCCTAGAAATATACCAAGCCGGGGAAAAGGCTTCATACGCTGCTTGTCTTTAGATGCTAAATCAACTGTAAATCAACTGTAAATCAACTTTAAATCAAATGTAATAAATGGTTTATTCTGAAATTGATCTGCCCTTGGTATTCAGGAAACTAAAATTTGGTATTAGTACCTCCGCTGCTGCCACCAAAAAATAAATAAAAGAAGAATGTGTCTGAGGACAGAATGCCCCCACTCAAGCTTTGCAATTTTCAATGTTAAAAGGGGAATAACTATAGAAGGGTAAATGACTCACAACCTTAATTCTGCATGTTGTGGTCTAGCATTGTGTATGAGTTTCATAAAATTTGCATTAGGCAAACTTAAGTCAGAGTGCGGAAACGACAGAAGGCCGGAAGGACTGTCAAGGGTAACACTTAATGCCCCCATTGCCTACGGCATCGGCATAAAAATACTCCAAACTGTTGACACAATTGATTCTTCAACTGGAGTCCATACTTGTTAAATCTTAATGACTTGAGTCACAGTAAGAAGTGTTTATCTCTGACATACATCATGTATTAACAAACAGTGACATTATTAAAAAGAATGTCAAAGCATCTTCTTCTTTGACACATATTAGTAAGACCTTTCAGTAATACTGTCATGCAAGTACAGACCTATACAAGACTCTTAATGTCAGTCAAGTTAGAACTTCTGTCCAATTTCCTAGATCAGCTAATTAGAACTCTGTCAGATTAGACAACAAAGCTGTAGGATTAAAAAGACTAACAAGTGCTGACTACTGATATGTCAGCTGACATTTTATAGGAGACAATTTAATAACAAGTGGTCAGAGGTGCTCAAAAGCTATTAAAAATACAGGGCAACTATTTTTGGTTTATTTTTTATGGTTGGTGCTGACATTTTAAAAGTAGAGTCTTTAATTAGGATATATTTGATCATGAAATTTTCAGTAATTCTTAATTGAGAAGACCATGAAGTTAACATTTCCAATTCAGTCTTAATGAGGAGAAATGTCAAGAAAGCGGAAAAATCTCAAACTATACCATGTAGTTTTACTGTACAAGACCATACTGATAAAAAAATCTATAGAACAGCTTATACAGAAATAAAATCAACAAGAAATAAAAGCTTCATTCATCCTTGAGTTTGCATCAAAATTCAAAGAGAAGATTCAGTTTTTGTTGGTTTTCTTTTATAAAGTTGTTTTTGTGATTTACAACTCATTGATGTTATATCAATTGATAAAATATTAAGTATGCCTAAATACATTTTATAGCAATTAAAAATGTCGATAAAAAAACCATCAATCTAATCATTCTATTTAATGGTTAAAATTAATAATTGAATGGCTTCCCATCCCATCCCATCCCATCCCATAAAGCCCTCATAGTAAAATTCCTCAAGTCACTAGTGTAAGCTAAAAATTGCCTAAATATATATTGAAGGCCGTACTTTGACCTATAATTGTTAACTTTTTATACATTGTGACTTGGATGGAGAGTTGTCTCATTGGCAATTATACCACATCTTCTTATTTATATAGCTATTATAAACAAATCACACAGCAGAATAATTTAGACTTTTTTCCATATAAATATTACAATTTTGGTATTAAATGTATTCAACACAAAGTAATCAATATATCTGGCTATCCGTCAAGTGGGAGAAATTCAGATATTTTTTTCTCCAAAGTGAAAAATTATGACCTGACCCTGCCTGCCATGAAACTGGTTCTGATTTCTTTATAAGCTGTTATTGGCTGAAATTCTTCTGCTCTCCTTTATATACAGAAAAATATCAACTTGTTGATGATTACTTTCTGCCTGGTTCCACAGTATGTAGTTGATCCTTCATTAACTGTGAGTCCTATTAGAATGGTACTTCGTGTCTTTTGTCTTTATGTTACATATTTTTGTGCTGGATGCCAATCTCTTGAGTGAAGTCATTTCTGAGTGATTTTTACAGTTTGTTATTATATTGTGCTGTTACACCACTGTCCCAGGTTAAGGTAGGGTTGACCGCTTCATCATTTAAATTAGCTGTGGAACTGAAGCTCTTTGGTCCTGATGATTTTTATTGACAATTTGCTGACTATATACCAAAAATTGTCAAAAAATATCATAAGGACCTCAGAGCTACGGTTCTGCAGCCACATTTTAATATGACAAAAATGATGGACAAGAATTTATGCATCTTCAAAGCAATATTTGAACAAAACTACAATCTTTCATATATCTATTTGGACATTCTCATAAATAACAGACAATGATTGACACAGTAACAGTCTATTCTGTAAATTGTCTGGATACAAACAAATCATCAGTCCAATGAGAGTACATAAGAATTCAATTTCATTAATAACAAAGTTTTTACTGAAAAGGCAATTTCTTTTCATCGAAACAAATTGTTAAACAAATGTCAAAAGTCAAGTTGTATGACAGACATACTATGAAGTAGGATGTTAACTTTATATGGGAAATAAAACTGTGTTATCAACTGATACATCCACTGTATGTAATAAATATTGTGTAATAGGGGGAAATATCTGTTTTATTATGTAATGTCAGACAGTTACAACAATAAAGTATACAATGGCAGAAATAAATATGTAATCATGCTCAATGTGAAAAAAGTTTATTGACAGGCTTTTTCCTTTACATTTTACTTTACAGTCTTTATCTGTAACACAAACATAGTTTTTGCAATCTGTGGAAATGTTTATTGTAAGCACTTTAATTTACTTATACCATTTGCTAAGAGAGAGTTATAGTCAAATCCGTATTCACTAAGCAGTTACAATTTTAAACATTTTAAACTGAAAAAAATCTAGAATTATGAAACAATACAATAAACACAATGACAACAGTAAATCAGGCTTTAGTATAATATATTAACTGATTGATTGGTTGGTGTTTAGCACTATTGGCTGCTTCGTGGCTGTTAGTTTTTATTGGTGAAGGAAGCAGGAGGGCCCTAGAGAGAACAAGGACCTTTGTCAGGAAAACGGACAATCCTAGTCAATAAACATTTGAAATAAAGATTTGAGTTGAATGCACCTGCCATGTACGTGGTTCAAACTCACAACCTCAGTGTTGACAGGCTAGTGATACAGCAGTTGGACTACTTAGACCACTCGGCCACCAAGCCCCCATAGTACAATAGATGTATTTACACTTGCAAATTTGTCCGACATTACATAAAATCACAGAAGTTCACGTAAAATTAGACTTAACAATTTAAAAAAAATTGACGTCATAGTTAAAAAGTGATTGTTACTTGATGTCAGGAGGTTATAATAAACTCTACAAGAAAAAGCTTGTCACTAAACCTTTTCACATTAGCCCTTCCAACCCAAATTTCAAGTGAAATTGTTCTTTGATATCCATCCATCCATTCATCTATCAAGACAGATTGGCAGACAGGATGACAGACAGACGGCCATCCATTCATCAAACTTTCCAGACAGACGGCCATCCATTCATCAAACTTTCCAGACAGACAGACAGACAGATATTGCTATATCCCTTCTGTCACTTTGTTGCAATAATGACATTTGTCTTGCTTGGATCTTGAAATTATTGAAAAGCTTTTAATCAAAAGAATTAGGAGTGAGCACAAGCTTCTATAATTTATATTGCTTTTTTACAAAGTGAAAATTAAGTTGCATTAAGTTTCATGCTTAATATACAACTTTCATTCTGTTTTTAATTAGCAAGTCTTCTTTGACCATAAATAGAGTGAAAGCAATTCAATAAATTTTACAAACAGGCTTTTTCCAATACAAAATATGAGTTAAGATTTAATTAATAAAAATATCTGAAAAGCCCTTACACAATGCAACTGAACGGCATCAAGCTGAATTCAAAATATTACAGCATTCCTATTGATAAAAGCCATGGACATTTTGATCACTTTTTACATCGCGATGACCTTGGGGTCATTCAGATGTATTGCTATCGCCTAGATTTCCATTATGTAAATTAGTTTTGGGTTTGTAACCGATCTATAAACATGATAAATATGCGCACATAAACGAATGCAAAATAACATTCCTTATCGTTTGATATAAATACATCTCTTCAATGAATACTGATAAAAATATTTTTGTTTACAACATAAATTAATAATATGAAAATGTTTTGTAGTTAGATATATATATATATAAGTAAAAAATCATTGATAATATCAATGCAGACGTACCGAAAAATTGTGTTAAAGCATGCGGAAGAATATCTCAGAGAACTTTTTGCGAGGACCGGTAACTCTGTAATTGTTTTTGCGGGAAAATATGAATGCCTACTCGTATCCAATCTTAGAAAAATCGAATTTTTACAGAAAAGTGTCCACCATGTATACTGATTTGTATCACTACAATATAATAGTTATTACGGTGAAGTTGAATTTCCTGTCATTTATTCATCATCCACGCACGAACTTGTCTCAGAAAAAAATATATCTCTGTACATTAACCTCAGTTTCAGGTAAAGAGATATGTTGTTTTTTTCTGAGACAAGTGCTTTTGACCATCCTCAAGAACTTGTGGTCATCCGATGTTCAGTACTTCAGTACTTTGATTTCAGTTGATATTTTCAAATGACAAAGTATTTTTTCAAACATAAAGAGTTGTTCAATGAAAGTGAAAAATAGCTTTCATGGTTTACAACTCAACATAAAGCTAAAGACAAAATATAAAATGATTCATATGTATTAACATTTATTAGTTGTAAGTTTATCAATTGTGTCCAAATGGTTTCAGAGGAGAAGAATATTGAAAAAGTTGATGAAAATATTAGATGCCAAGTGGGGGAAAAGCTAAGAGGTGATTTAAGAAAAACAATTTGAGGGGGATTTATGTAGCGGAGGGCTTACTTATGTAGCTACATACATATATGGTATATGCACAGACTTTTTACAAGTCCCACTCTGAAGGTTGCCTTGTTGGTGGGCCCCTCATTTTCAAAATCCTGGATTCATTTGAAGCTCACATGGTCCAAATGGACAAGACAAGCTAGAGTTGTATATGATAACAACAAGCATAACCAATGTTTATACCTACTTTTGGATCAAATCTTTTATCTTTGTATGCATCTGGTATTTTTAAAGTCTAAAAATAAAAAAAAAGATATCACTGAATAAACTTTAAACTGATGAAAGCATATAACCATTTGTAAAATTCTTCTGATAATAATGCATCAATCTATCCTGAAATTTGCAATAAATGTTTTGTTTTCAGTTGCCAGTGAAATTACATAACAACAGCTTTACATGGCACTGCAAGGGTAAACATTATTTAAAGATAGTACATCTCTCCTTCGTTTCTGGTTCAACATATTTTTTCAACTTTGTTCTGATCAAAATATTTGTTTAATGACATCTGCTCATATACAGAAATAATTCTACCTCCTGCGATTGCAGGTGCTTGTCTTTAATATAATTAATCAGTGTAGTTATATTGATCAATTTCTTCAATTTGTGTCTGTAACATATAAAGGTACATAGCTAAAAGTTCATTTAGATTTTTGTGAATATGCTCCGTTAACAAAAAATCTAATTGAAGTTCTACCAAAATCTTTTTATTGTTAGAGAAGTACATGAACTGCAAATGTAATTTATTTTCTTAGAAACTTACATCCAAAACACAGGACAACTTCCAGACATTTATTTTTCAATGTATATTCATGGGTATACTATATTGACATTCAGAACAATATTTTACTTCTGTGGTAATATTGTTACCTGGCTGCTGTCTCATTAATGTATATTCAAAACATTCAGCCCAGATGTGTGTTCATCAACTTTTTGAAGGATAGTTAGCATACTATAAATAATTTAAAATATCAACTCAAATCTATCACTCTAATACTTGTTAATAAACAGCTGCGCCATGAGCGCATGATACGCCCGTCGCTTTTTCAATAGATATAAACCAGTCACCAAAGTTTCATGAAACTGCTCAAGGCATTGTTGAGTAATTGTCCGAAAACTGGAAAAATACCCCTTTTTTAATGAATAAAACCCCATAACTCAGAAACGTAAAATCTATAATTTATTGAATTCAAAAGGGTGCTCACATCAATAGACATAAACAATTCACCAAAGTTTCATGAAAACTGCTCAAGGCATTTTTAATGTAATTGTCCGAAAACTGGAAAATCTCCCTTTTTTAATGAATAAAACCCCATAACTCGGAAACGTAAATATAATTTATGAAAATCAAAAGGAAGCTCACGTCAATAGATATAAACAATTCACCAAAGTTTCATGCAAATTGGTTAAAGCGTTTATGAGTTATTGTCCGACATATTGACGACGGACAGACAGACAACGGTATACCATAATATGTTCCGTAAACGGGCGTATAAAAACCATCCTGGGAACTATTTTTCAATTTTTTTATTATTTTTAGAAACAGTGACATTGACATTACACTTATTGATCCCAAAAGCAATAGGCTTCTACACCTTCCTTATATCTTCCATCTGTACAAGTTTCATTCCAATCAAGAATGGGAAACTCAAGTTACCATCATGAATTAATTTTTCTCCCCCCAAAAATCTATTTCTATTAACAATGACCTTTACTTTTGACCCCAAAATCAGTAGGCATTGTTCCCTTCCATATATTTTCCACCTGTATCAGTTTCATTCCACTCAAGCATGGGAAACTCAATAAGTTACCATCATGAATTAATTCCCCCCCCCAAAAAAAAAATCTATTTCTATTAACAATGACCTTTGCTTTTAGACCCAAAATCAGTAAGCTATATCTCATCTTTTGTATAAATGTCATTCAAATCAAGCAGGAGAAACTTAAGTTACTATCATGAAACTTTTTTGGCCTCTACATCTAAAAGGCTTCTTCCATTTCATTCAAGGAAGTGATGCTCAGGTTATCATCAGGAAACCATTTGTTACGGTTTTGCCCAAAGTTAGAAAGATCCTTATCCCTTCCTATATCTTTCATCTTTATAAGTTTCATTCAAATCAAGGAAGAGAAACTCAAGTTATCATCAGGAAACCATTTTTCCAAAATTTTCTATCTTACGTAACTGTGACCTTGACCTTTAACTTATTGGCCCCAACATCAAAAGGCTTATTCCTTGTCATTCTAATCAAGCAAGGGATATTGTGAGGGAACCATTGTTACAGACAGAAGTATTGGGCGAATAAAAATAGGACGACAATTCATCAACATTGACAATTTTTGCATGATATGACAATCATTTGATTTTCTAATAAACAAATCAAGGTTAAATGTTACCTGTCCAGTAGCTGCCACATGACCAGATATACCAATATGGATCGGAAAGCGTGGTTCTGCTGGCCTGAAATAAATAAATAAGATCACATACCAAGCATTACTAATATTGATAAGTAAGTGAGGTTATCCATGCTTGGAATAAATAGATCACATGGCTAAATATACAAACATGAACTAAAGAGCATGGTCCTGATGGCCTGAAACAGATAACGTACATCACATTTTGTCCTAAATTAAAATGCTCAGGGTAGTTACTTGATTTATAACATTGATTCTGGTTAAATATGAAATATAGCCGAGATCATCTGGGACTTAAAATAATATCAAATCAAATACCATTTTTCAGCTGATAGATATTTGATGCTATGCTGCAATATCATCATTTGAATTACCACAAGACATGCTGAGAAATGTCTTTAATCTTTAACAATTTAAGTTACATAACTTTTAACAAGAATCTAAAAATCATTTCAGAAGTTGCTTTTCTTAAAAGAATCAAAGTGAATGATTGCATACAAATTTTGGACATAAGACATTCTTAAATTTTTCACAATTAATAAAGTCCAATAGCTCAGGAGGAATGACTATCATCAAAATAAATATGGGTTGTCTTTATGGAACTTAACATTGGGGTATACATTTCATAGCCACCCATTGTAGTAAAATTGAGTTATAGGATGTGCTTGGATGGACAGATCTCATTTAGTGTGATTTTTGTCAAATGGCAGAAGGGATATCACCATAATTTCCTTGAAACTATATTATCTTATCGACATTTCTTTTCATTAAAAAACACATTTTTTGTATTATCTTTAAACTGACAATTATGGGGGAAAATGCTGATTTTCTCGTTTGAATTATTTTACATTTTGTGTCCTTTTATAGCTTACTGTTCAGTATAAGTTTTGCTCATTGTAGAAGGTATAGTGACCTTTACCTGCTTACATCTACATCATTTGATCTCTGGTGGCAATCATACCTCATCTTCTTATTTTTTAATTGGTATATGTTATGCACTGTTTTGTTATTTTTCTATAGAAGGAAGATTTCTCTGTTAATCTTACACCATAGGGAAAAAGTGCTGTGGTACAATAGGAACCATTTAACTCAGCTCAAAACTCAACCAAACTCAACCATCCTGGTCTAGAAACAGTAAAAACGATAAGTTTCTGACTATTTTCCATCACAATGAAGCCTCATTGACAAACAAATTAATAAATGACTTAATGATTTTGCTTATCGGTAATGTATCTTAAACTAACACATTTGAAATCACTATTTGGCAATAAAAGTTAAACTGTACAAATATTCTATAGGTTTTTTTTTCAAAATCAATTCTCTTTAATCAATAAACAGTTTGTCTTCTATATATAATAGAACCATAGTTAATTTGTATTTAATAGGCAGATAATGGGGTTGAGCTGTCTGGTACACTATGATAACTGGTATTTATTGACATGTCCCATAATGTATCAAGCTTGCTGTTGACACTTAAACCAAGGCTATGATAAAACGTGACCTTATCTAAATTTAAACGTAATTGACATACAGATCAAATAATTGACACTATTTTTGTTAAAAAAAATTTGAATTTAAAAACAGTGTAATATATAATCTTATCCTTACAAAAAAAGACTCTAGCAATAAGCTTTTTGATCTTACTTATCAGTCATTTTGTCTGAAGATTGGCAAAATCAATAAAAAAAATCCACTTAACCTAACTTGATTTGTGTATCAGTGTGATATTCAATCAGTGTCAAGATTAGCAAGGACGTTCCACAACAATATTATCACAGAATATAGATGCAGTAAATTCCAAGGATATATCTACCATTTAATAAGATTGTGATTTACAAAAACATTTTCACTGAACAGAAATTTAGCTACAAGTTCCAGACTCCTAAAACAAAATTCAATTTGACTATCATGATCATATCAGACATTACATGGTTGACCATTCTACATCTTACAAATTTTCTTGCAAACAAATTAAAAGATACCATGAGGGCATTCAAAAACAAACAACTCCATGGCCTAAAGGAAAAAGATAAAAAGACAATAATCAGTCAACAAAACAATATCAAAAAACTAATGACTGAGCAACAAAAACTCTGTTAAATACTGGGTGAACTCAGTGATCTAGAAAGGTAAGACTGAGCAACAAAACTCTGTTAAATACTGGGTGAACTCAGTGCTCTGGAAAGGTAAGACTGAGCAACAAAGGTCTGTTGAATACTGAGTGAACTCAGTGCTCTGGAAGACTATGACTGAGAAAAAAAACTCTGTTAAATACTGGGTGAATTCAGTGCTCTAGAAAGGTAAGACTGAGCAACAAAATCTCTGTTAAATACTGGGTGAACTCAGTGCTCTGGAAAGGTAAGACTGAGCAACAAAAACTCTGTAAAATACTGGGTGAACTCAGTGCTCTGGAAAGGTAAGACTGAGCAACAAAATCTCTGTTAAATACTTGGTGAACTCAGTGCTCTGGAAAGGTAAGACTGAGCAACAAAAACTCTGTAAAATACTGGGTGAACTCAGTGCTCTGGAAAGGAAAGACTGAGCAACAAAATCTCTGTTAAATACTTGGTGAACTCAGTGCTCTGGAAAGGTAAGACTGAGCAACAAAGGTCTGTTAAATACTGGGTGAACTCAGTGCTCTGGAAAGGTAAGACTGAGCAACAAAATCTCTGTTAAATACTGGGTGAACTCAGTGCTCTGGAAAGGTAAGACTGAGCAACAAAACCTCTGTTAAATGCTTGGTGAACTCAGTGTTCTGGAAAGGTAAGACTGAGCAACAAAATTTTTTTTAAATACTGGGTGAACTCAGTGCTCTGGAAAGGTAAGACTGAGCAACAAAAACTCTGTAAAATACTGGGTGAACTCAGTGCTCTGGAAAGGAAAGACTGAGCAACAAAATCTCTGTTAAATACTTGGTGAACTCAGTGCTCTGGAAAGGTAAGACTGAGCAACAAAATCTCTGTTAAATACTGGGTGAACTCAGTGCTCTGGAAAGGTAAGACTGAGCAACAAAAACTCTGTTAAATACTGGGTGAACTCAGTGCTCTAGAAAGGTAAGACTGAGCAACAAAATCTCTGTTAAATACTTGGTGAACTCAGTGCTCTGGAAAGGTAAGACTGAGCAACAAAAACTCTGTTAAATACTGGGTGAACTCAGTGCTCTGGAAAGGTAAGACTGAGCAACAAAAACTCTGTTAAATACTGAGTGAACTCAGAGCTCTGGAAAGGTAAGACTGAGCAACAAAACTCTGTTAAATACTGGGTGAACTCAGTGTTCTGGAAAGGTAAGACTGAGCAACAAAAACTTTTTTAAATACTGGGTGGACTCAGTGCTCTGGAAAGGTAAGACTGAGCAACAAAAACTCTGTTAAATACTGGGTGAACTCAGTGCTCTGGAAAGGTAAGACTGAGCAACAAAAACTCTGTAAAATACTGAGTGAACTCAGTGCTCTGGAAAGGTAAGACTGAGCAACACAATCTCTGTTAAATACTGTAAATTCAGAAATTATTGCGTGCATTTATTATTGCGATTTTGTCATTGTAGACTAAAATGCGATTTTAATTTTTGCGATATTGAGAAAAATCCTGTTTAATTCATATAAAAAATTTCAAAATGCGAGTTTAAATTATTGCGATTATAACTCTGTCGCATTTTTCGCAATAATATAAACATCTCAATAATTTCTGAATTTACAGTACTTGGTGAACTCAGTGCTCTGGAAAGGTAAGACTGAGCAACAAAAACTCTGTTAAATACTGGGTGAACTCAGTGCTCTGGAAAGGTAAGACTGAGCAACAAAATCTCTGTTAAATACTTGGTGAACTCAGTGCTCTGGAAAGGTAAGACTGAGCAACAAAAACTCTGTTAAATACTGGGTGAACTCAGTGCTCTAGAAAGGTAAGACTGAGCAACAAAAACTCTGTAAAATACTGAGTGAACTCAGTGCTCTGGAAAGGTAAGACTGAGCAACAAAAACTCTGTTAAATACTGGGTGAACTCAGTGCTCTGGAAAGGTAAGACTGAGCAAAAAAACTCTGTTAAATACTGAGTGAACTCAGAGCTCTGGAAAGGTAAGACTGAGCAACAAAACTCTGTTAAATACTGGGTGAACTCAGTGTTCTGGAAAGGTAAGACTGAGCAACAAAAACTTTTTTAAATACTGGGTGAACTCAGTGCTCTGGAAAGGTAAGACTGAGCAACAAAAACTCTGTTAAATACTGGGTGAACTCAGTGCTCTGGAAAGGTAAGACTGAGCAACAAAAACTCTGCAAAATACTGGGTGAACTCAGTGCTCTGGAAAGGTAAGACTGAGCAACAAAATCTCTGTTAAATACTTGGTGAACTCAGTGCTCTGGAAAGGTAAGACTGAGCAACAAAAACTCTGTTAAATACTGGGTGAACTCAGTGCTCTGGAAAGGTAAGACTGAGCAACAAAATCTCTGTTAAATACTTGGTGAACTCAGTGCTCTGGAAAGGTAAGACTGAGCAACAAAAACTCTGTTAAATACTGGGTGAACTCAGTGCTCTGGAAAGGTAAGACTGAGCAACAAAAACTCTGTTAAATACTGAGTGAACTCAGAGCTCTGGAAAGGTAAGACTGAGCAACAAAATATCTGTTAAATACTGGGTGAACTCAGTGCTCTGGAAAGGTAAGACTGAGCAACAAAAACTCTGTTAAATACTGGGTGAACTCAGTGCTCTAGAAAGGTAAGACTGAGCAACAAAATCTCTGTTAAATACTTGGTGAACTCAGTGTTCTGGAAAGGTAAGACTGAGCAACAAAAACTTTTTTATACACTGGGTGAACTCAGTGCTCTGGAAAGGTAAGACTGAGCAACAAAAACTCTGTTAAATACTGGGTGAACTCAGTGTTCTAGAAAGGTAAGACTTGGCAACAAAAACTCTATTAAATACTGGGTGAACTCAGTGCTCTAGAAAGGTAAGACTGAGCAACAAAATCTCTGTTAAATACTGGGTGAACTCAGAGCTCTGGAAAAGTAAGACTGAGCAACAAAATCTCTGTTAAATACTGGGTGAACTCAGTGCTCTGGAAAGGTAAATGATGTTCAGGACTCAATGTTTGCTGATACGTAATATTCAGTGAAAAGTCATGAATATGAAGACAGGATTGTGAAAATAACAAATGGAACATGCCCATGATCCCCTGTGACATTGTATAATATGTAGAATACTGCTCAGATGTTTCTTTATACAAAAGGAAAGTCCACCATGGAAAAATTGAAGTCCCATTATGATGATAAGTAATCCTTTTGTGATTGTTACCATAGCTGTTTAAATTATTGCGATTATAACTCTGTCGCATTTTTCGCAATAATATAAACATCGCAATAATTTCTGAATTTACAGTACTTGGTGAACTCAGTGCTCTGGAAAGGTAAGACTGAGCAACAAAAACTCTGTTAAATACTGGGTGAACTCAGTGCTCTGGAAAGGTAAGACTGAGCAACAAAAACTCTGTTAAATACTGAGTGAACTCAGAGCTCTGGAAAGGTAAGACTGAGCAACAAAACTCTGTTAAATACTGGGTGAACTCAGAGCTCTGGAAAAGTAAGACTGAGCAACAAAATCTCTGTTAAATACTGGGTGAACTCAGTGCTCTGGAAAGGTAAATGATGTTCAGGACTCAATGTTTGCTGATACGTAATATTCAGTGAAAAGTCATGAATATGAAGACAGGATTGTGAAAATAACAAATGGAACATGCCCATGATCCCCTGTGACATTGTATAATATGTAGAATACTGCTCAGATGTTTCTTTATACAAAAGGAAAGTCCACCATGGAAAAATTGAAGTCCCATTATGATGATAAGTAATCCTTTTGTGATTGTTACCATAGCTGTTTTTTCAGGACTAAGCATGCCCTAACAAGTTCCATTAAGTATAAATCTAAAAAACCAAAAACTCATAAAAACCACTGGATAAGAAGTTACAAAATCCAAGATAATATACAGAAAGGTCCAAAAAACATAAAAAAATCAATAATACTTAAACTGCATAAAACATCATTGGACAGTAACAAAAGGATGACTTGATGGATGGTTGGCTGTTTAATGTCCAGTGGCTAGTCAAATGCATAAAAGAAAAAATGGGAAAAATGTCATTCAAGGGCAATAACTCATATAAGGGGTCAATCGACGATTTTTCAGCAATTTATTTGTAGATCTTCCTTGTTGATAATTTTTACTGATTTAAGATTTTCTCTATTTTCTAGATTCTGCAAAAAATGCATTAATGGGTAAAAATCATCCTTAATGGGCAATGAAAAGGGATCTTTTTGTAATTTTTTATCATTTGACTTATTTAGAGATCTTATTTTGCTGAACTTTATGAATATTTTAAAATCATCTCTATCTACTATAGTTCTGAATAAAATTGCCAAAATTTGGTAAAATCCTCATTCAGGACAAAAACTCCTGTAAGGGGTCAATTGACTATATCAACTACTTATTTGTAGATCTTATTGTTATGGTCATTTCTACTTTTTAAATTTTCTATGATAATAACAAATAAAATGCTCCGCTGGGTGCAGCTTGATACAACAGCAGAGGTTGAACCCTGAACAGTTGGGGCAAGTATGGACACAACATTCAAGCTTGATCCAGCACTGAATTTGGATTGTGATTAAATATTTGACACAGCATAGGTTTCTGACACAGAATGAATGTGGTAAAGAACTTAAAAAATTTTAATTTACCTTTTCAAACCATATCATTATAATTTGCTTCTATATATAAATCAGAAATAACCAATTTAAAACGAAAAATGTCATTCAAGGGCAATAACTCATATAAGGGGTCAATTGACGATTTTTCAGCAATTTATTTGTAGATCTTCCTTGTTGATCATTTTTACTGATTTAAGATTTTCTCTATTTTCTAGATTCTGTCTATAGACTTAAATAGGAAAACTAAACATTGACCAATGAACCATGAAAATAAGGTCAATGTCAGATGAAGCATGCCAGACAGACATGTACACATTACAATCAATCTATGCTTTAAATATAGCTGACCTATTGCTTATAGTATCTAAGAAACAAACTTAACATTGACCAATGAACCATGAAAATGAGGTCAAGGTCAGATGATATCTGCCAGACAGACATATACACCTTACAATCATTCCATACAACAAATATAGTTGACCTATTGTTTATAGTTTAAGAAAAACAGACCAAAACACAAAAACTAAACACTAAGCAATGAACCGTGAAAATGAGGTCACGGTCAAATAAAACTTGCCAGACTGACATGTACATTGTAAAATATTTCCATACACCAAATATAGTTGACCTATTGCATATAGTATTAGAAAAAAAGACCAAAATACAAAAACTTAACTTTAACCACTGAACCATGAAAATGAGGTCAAGGTCAGATGACACCTGCCAGTTGGACATGTACACCTTACAATCATTCCATACACCAAATATAGAAGACCTATTGCTTATAGTATCTGATATATGGACTTGACCACGAAAACTTAACCTTGTTCACTGATCCATGAAATGAGGTCGAGGTCAGATGAAAACTGTCTGACGGGCATGAGGAACTTGCAAGGTACACACATATTAAATATAGTTATCCTATTACTCATAATAAGAGAGAAATTAACATTACAAAAAATCAGAACTTTTTTTTCAAGTAGTCACTGAACCATGAAAATGAGGTCAAGGACAATGGATATATGACAGACGGAAACTTCTTAACATGAGGCATCTATATACAAAGTATGAAGCATCCAGGTCTTCCACCTTGGAAAATATAAAGCATTTAAGAAGTTAGCCACCGCCGCCGCCGGATCACTATCCCTGTCGAGCTTTCTGCGACAAAAATCGCAGGCTCGACAAAAATGAACATTTCAAAGGCAATAACTCAAAATTGGTTGTCTGATTTTCTGATTATCTGAAAATTCCATAGGAGATATAATTTGATGATTATTTTTTTTCATGTCAGTTTTTCTGGCCAAGTGAGCTAAACACAAGGATCATAACTAAGAAAATTTCATGATTTTATCCTAGCTTTACTTGAGCTCTGCAAGAGAATTTTTTTAATTTAAATATTCATCAATATATGGATAGCTACTCTAAAAATTTAAAAGAATGAATTATTGAAAAAATGTATTAAGCAAAACTATATTTATGATCCGGTAATACAATTGAAAAGCTGTAACAGTTACATTTATTACCATATAAAATTTCATTTTTTTCTGATAGAATTTCTGATTTAGAATTTTTTAGAGAAAACATCAAACATTTGTATTGTACACAGGCCAATAATTCAATACATTATATGTAATATTGTTTATATCCCTCTGGTAACATCAATCATTGAAACCTATTCTGTTTCATTATTACTAAGAACTCAATCAATATATTTGTTACAAAATATATAAAAATGGGTACAATCAACCAAGAGTTAAAAAAATCCATTAACCCAGTTGTATATCATTGTGAAATCAGGACAAAAAAACTAATCTGACTTAATGATACAAGTCAGGAATGAATGGTGGAATATTTCATTCTATCTCAAAGACATGTTGCATTCAAGATAACATGAATGATTCTTGGCAAAAATAAAACAGGAAAAAAACAAAAAAATGCATACAAAAATGTATTTATTTCAGTGCTTTTTGTATACAGTGATATTCAAGATCCTGTACATCAATGTTGAAGTCAAACTTTATGTTTATACTAGTCTGATAAATAGATGTTTGATTTTCGAACTTTTTATGAAATAGAAAGTAAACCATTGGAACAGTATGGTAAGAATATTTCCAGTTATACCACACCACACTGTTTTACACTAACAAATCAATCTTTCTCTAGCAAAAGGCTAAATGTTTTTTTCAGATGGTCCATTTGAAGAAAGGAATTCAAACTGCAACTTTTCTTTGATTGACAGATTTTATCCATACTTGATGGTATATGTATATAATTATGCTACACTTACACCAAGATGTTATTAAATCAATATCATTTGGATATCCTGCATTTAGAATGCTTACCATGAAATAAGATCAAATTGCTGAAAGATCCCCTCCTAAATTATTGAAATCTATCTATTCGCATTAATCATAATATCTTTGTGTAAATTAGACAACACTCTCATGGTTGTATCTAATACAGCTACTTACCATTCTCTGTTGAAGGTATCACTATTGTCAAAGTCTGTATGTTCCAAATCAAACACTTGACAAAAACTACCCTGGAAAGGAATGAAAAGTTCTGTATTATTGACAACCTTATTCTATGGTTATAAATGAACTTAAAACTTTTTTCTATGTTAAATCACAAATCATTAAGATGATAAAATAATTGTACACCACACACTGCTACAGACTAGGAAAGACACATCCTTTCAAGAAATAGTTCTGAAGGTAATTCAGATTACAATGAGCTTCTACTTAAAATGAGTGGAACATTTGATAAAAAAGATGTATGAAAAAACCCATCTACCGTGGATTTGTGGGATACCAATTTGGGTGATTTAGTGGGTACAGTTAAACCATTAACTTAAATCATCAAGAAAGTACAAATTTTCTATTGACTTTTGTGTAGACTTTGGCATAACCCTGAAATCAAATTACCACAAAAAAAAAAGCGTTTTTCTAAATCCACGAAAAATGAATGATTCTACAGTATATGACAGAAGAATGATCAAGGTTAACGCTGAAGTATTTACCAAATAATTTTGTATTTTCTTCATTTTCTCTAAAAATAATGGGTATTATATCAAATAAAGATGAGATGGTAATGTTTAAAACCATTACCTCATCCTATTATGTACAATCAGATAGAAAAAACAACTAAATTTATAGGAAATATGTTCCATCAACCATACTAAGTGTATCTTTTAATGAGATATCTTATTTAAAATTCAAAGAACTCAAACAAATAGACTTAATAAGTGAACATTCATATTTCAAGACAATAAAATGTTTATTTTCATTAGTAATGAAATGCTACCATGAAGTTGCTTTTCTTGGAAGGGTTTTCTAGTATAAGCTATTTTGTTTCATGTGCATTAAAACTTTTCCAAGCCTTCTTTTATTTTACCATATATTACAAGTGAGGTTTTATTGCATATAATGAAAAGTTTAAACATATAGTACAGAGTTTAAACATGTCATACAAAGTTGATACATGTAGTACAGAGTTTATTATGTAACATTTACCAGGAATTCAACATCTGTCCTTGTAAATTACATTGTGCAATTTTATAATTTATGAAAATTGACATTTCATCCAATTAAAATTGTTTAAAAAATGAAGTTCCGATGATAGAACACAAACTGTTCCATTCAAATCATACATATTACATGTAAAAGAGCAAATTTATTATCTTAAATGTTCCAATGCTTGAATGATTTTGATGAGATATACTGAAAAAAATATATGCTGACATTGAATCACCTTAAACTTTACTGATGCAGAATGCAGAAATGAGAAATGAAACTAACTGCCAAAAATACCACAAAAACTTTAGATATATATTCTTAAATCCATTTTCAAATAAAAAATATGAACCAGAACATATACAACTAATTAATACATGATATCTTTGCCAAATATTCAAGCTAACACTTTTCTTGCATCAACTGAATAAGCAAATTTATGAGTTCAGAAAAATCGATAAGGTTGAGCTGTAATTAGTATGGTGTCAGCTGCTGAAACCCTATATTTGTAAGGTCTTTCTTTTACTGTTACTGCATAATTCTTGAAAACTTCCAAATTTTACCCCTCTAGGCCCCCAACCCACCTTAAAAAAAGTTTGTCATAACATGCCAAATAAAAAATCTGGATGCACACTATCGTGTCAACTACGATTTGCAATTATTGCTTAAATAAAGCCAAATATGAAAACTTGCAACAGATTTTTATGTGATTTGACAAAAGAGAAGAAATCAGTTAATGAGAGAATATAATTAAGTTAAGTTATGTCTGAGAGGCAAAATAGTCATCTAGATAAAGAAACAGAGTGCATTGCCATCAACTACACTTCTATTGTCATTTGTTTGCATTCAAACTTTCCTTCAATATGAATTAAATGATTTAACTGTTTTTGATAGTTATACAAACAGAACATAACAGGCGAGTGCCTATCAATGTCTGAAATTTAATGCTGATAATTAACTTTATTTGGAGATATCTAAAATATTTTTGTCATAAAAGAGGTTTAGATTTCTCTGTGTTTACCTATCAGACACTGACAGTCAACCATTGTACTTAAAAACCATATGTCAGGGTTACACTAAACAATTCCTAATCATCATTATGCCTATTTTAGATAAGCTCAGTGTTCTTCAGCATAAAGAGCATAACAAGCATCTATGATAACAGAGTAAATGGGAAATTGGAAGTCAAGTACGAAGCCAGCAAAGCATTATAACATTTAAATTCACATGAAATCAGGAAGCATTTCAGATGTTTTCCAATGGATAAAATATCAGAAAAGGAAGAATCCTTTCAAACTGTAGCTAAAATTATCTTTTAATGATTTCTAGTGTATTTTGAAAAATATGTCCTTATTATACAATCTCGCTATATGTCCTTATTATCCAATCTAGCTTTAACTTCCTTATTTTCTAACTATTTCTCAAAATCATTACAAATTGATACTTAATCCAAAGTTAAGTACATTTTTTACATGAATGGCCAACAAATTGAATGAATCCAAAATAATGCACACATGAAATGAAAGCTTTATTAAACTAGTATTACAATATAAATGCATGACACCAAGTTCACTGCCCAGGACACACTTCTGGAATAACCTTCTTTAGGTACCTTTAAGATCAAAAGTATGTTGAACCAAGTAGATAAAATATTGAAGACTAGCAAATAAATCGTGGTCAGATTCCCCTCAAGGAGTTTTAGTAAAAATCTATTATATATATTATCCAATGAGTATTTGAGTAATTTGGTCAATTGTCTCTTTGATGTATACACCTCACAAAATTCATAAGAAAATTTAAAACCAGTCATTTAAATCATGGCATTACTAAAGCCTTGGTAACAGGATGGATAGATAAAAAACAGTAAAAACAGATCACCTTATACACGGACAAAATAAGGTGTCAGTCCAATATCCTGAAATTAAATATTATATTGCTATTTTAATACTGGGATGATTAACAATAAAGAATATTATTATGAGTTATATATGATTCACTAAGACCTTCATGGGAAAATAGAATTTATATTGTACAATAAAATGGTATAAGACTTAGTATACTGTTCAATGTACTGTGAAAGAAGTGAGAATAGTGCATCTACAAAAAAGATTATTATGAAGAGGAGACTGTATGCTCTGTTAACTGTGCAGTTATGATGATTGGTTTCACAATATTAGTGGCTAATAGGAAAATGCTGGCAAATTTTTATTATATGTAATATTTGAAAAAGACCCTACAAATGCATGGATTGAGATTTTGTGTGAAGCCCACAAGATATGACAACCTTAACCCTATTTTTATAGACAAGAGTTAATTAATCTGTAGTCATGCATTAGTCAACTGATCCTGGACTTATATACTGTTGCAGAGTTCCCACATTGTTCTACATGTCTAAATAAAAATGAAATGTGAGCTCTTGCATACCCTGCAAAAAGTATTTGGTTAACAGGAAGTTAATATGGGATGATCTGAAAATGAACCACCACGGGGGGTCTCAACATGGGATTTTGGGTACAGTTGTGCAGCTGGGATTTAAAAAACACCCCCCATTCATATATTGAATAATTGTGAAATCCGTACCTATACATATATATCACAGAGAAATCATAACCCATTCAGTGAAGATCGTTGCACAACAAACTGAAAAATTATGACCCATTGATATATTTCCTCGGTAAAATTGCACCCCATTGATATATTTGACGCATCAAAAAAGGAACCCATTCCAGCGGCACATATGTATATACCTTCATATAGGAAGAGACCCCCCTGTGTGCACCACAAAGTAAAGCATGCTCAATTGAAGCTTGATACCAAATTCAGGATGCTGTGATAAGTAACTTCTGCCAAATATGTGAAGAAAATTTCATGGTTCAGACAGACGGACAGACCGGTGTAAAAAAGTATACTCCTCCTTTGGAGCGAGCATATCAAAATATGGCAATACAATATAAAACTGTATTGACTTCCCGTAATTAATACATAATTAATACTTAAATAATTATATTTGATATTCACATATGACAGATGTAAGTGTTTTAACTTAGGCGGAAATTGTCAGCTAATTATATAGAATATCTTCATATGAATACTGTATCATTATTAATTTCAGAATGATTACAAATATTATAGACATTCAGAGGGCTTTCAGGCTAGTTAAATTGGAAAACTCCGTTATCAAGTTAAGAGATATTCAATGATAAATTTAAGCTGAAACTTAAACCACAGAAAAGTTCACTGAAGTGCTTTTTGTTGTTAATTTTCTTAATGTTTTATGTCTTTCTAGCATCCTCACGCATATTCAAGATTAATGTTTGTAAAAAAAATACAGAAAGATGTTTATTTTTCCATAAAAATATGATCACTAGACAATTTTGCTAAAAGGTTTTTGAAAAAAAATCCATTTGTAATAGATTATAGCAATTAAGATTATTCTTCAGTACCTTGATTGAATAAAGATGTTATTTAACCTAAACACATTGATTTTCTCATTTCTAACTTAATTCTTATGACTTTCAACTGCTTATCAAATAAAATAGTACCTCCCTTTAGAGTCAAAATCACTTGTTCAAAACATGCTTTTGTACTGCAAGAGATAAGAAATATAATTTAAGTGGCTTATGAATCTTAGAAATTACAATTTTTAGACCTCAAATGTATTAGGGTCTATCAAATAGACCACTCCTTCCCACTGCATAGGGCTAAATTCAAGTTGTTTCATACAACATGTATAGTACTGTTCCTGTAATTACATATATATTGCTATTACTAAAATAATATTGTGAAACCAATCCATACAAGTTAAATAGATGTGCATATTACTCTATTATAAACATTCACCACTTTGCGTTTTAGATGAAAATCTCTGTTTTTTGCCTGAAATATAAAATTGAAAGCTTACTAAGCATACAAACATACATTCATGCAAAACATAGTGCAGTGCAAAAGTATAAAAATACTGATGATGAAACCATTCCTAATGGAATAAAATGAACACATAAATGACAAGATCAATGGATGTTGATGTTGACACAGGACCCATTAAAGCATTAATTACAAATTAAAAGTAAATACAATTAAATCAAAGTCCTTTTGTCAGTAAGGGTATTACAAATCAGATGTAAAAATATAAGTTTCATACATGATGAATTTGTTTGTCTTACCCCTTTTAAAAGCAGATTCAAGTACAGACACATAAAGATATGCAATCACAAGCATGCAATGTAAATCATAGTTAAGCAATGAATTAAACAGATAAGCATGCAGTAAAATTGACCTTAAAAATAACATACTTTACATGAAAGATAGGATATATGTGTAAATAATTTTAGTGACATATGTTGCAGGCCATTAACATGCTACATTAAGAAACTTTAGTGCAAGGGCTCTTATGTCTGAGTAATACTATGTTCCTTTTAACTGTCAAAAATTATCTCATCAACTAAATTTAAGCCATTTTTTTCTCTCCAAAAAATCAAAATTCAGTTTATCTTTTTGTCTTTTACACATGCAACTAATTCATATTTCCATTAGTATGAAGGATATGTCATATTTAACATGTAATAATATCATGCTCTGATAAAAGATAGTTTAAGTTGTCTTAAAATAAAAGTTCCTGTATGCTATATGTAACTGTCATATAACTTGCATATAACTTATAAAGGGACATAACTCAAGAACAGTAAAAGTGACACAACCCAAATTTGAACTTGATCTGTGTTTTGTGATAATAAGCATTGTGTATAAGTTTCCTAACATTTGGTTGAGGTTAGAGTTAGAGAACGGAAACTACTTTTGGGACAGACGGACAAGGGTAACACTTAATGCCCCCTCCGCCGTAGCAGGGGCATAAAAATCAATGCGTTTTTGTTCTGGTGTTGATAATTGATGTGGTCTGTTGTACTGTCCAGTATTTTTTTGTGATTTCTGTAATCCTTTTTTTGTATTATTGCATTATATGAGAGTATTTTTTTTAAAATTTTTCTTGCAAGCAACTTTGAAAAAGGTAGTTAATACTATTTTAACACACAATGAGCAACAAAGAAAGAGATGACACTGTTGTCCCTTCCAGAGCATCTCAGTCATTTTTATCATCTTTTGGTCATGTTGTGTTCTTAAATGCACCTTGGTATCTTCTACCTTTGCTAACATTCTACAAGTATATACCAAACACCAGCCAGGAAGAAGTAGGGCTAATCTTTCAAAAAATGACATTTTGATTGACGTAATTTGACCAAAATAACACAAAATTCATACTTAATCATCTACCTCCTACTCATTACACATTTACCAGTAAGTCAAATATTTACCAACTTTATAGCCATAGTTTTACACATTATGTAACAACAGAAATGGTTGTTAGCTGATGAGAAGTGAACTAAATTTTGTAATATAATTTTTAAAAAAATAAATTAAAAAGGATTGGCACAGTGATTTTAACTATTTTTGAAAACATCAAACAATAGCTCGCAGTCATATAATTGTTACTCATATTACCACTCAGACAACCCCTAAGCCACAGCCATTCCTACATCTTTAAACAAGCAGTAATGTTGAATAATATCATTGCTTTTCATTTTTTTACACATTTGGTTCTGAGCATTCCTAATGAAGCTTTATCAAGAGAGGCAATTTGGGAATTTACAAATTTAGCATGTTTCAAACTTTTAACAACTTGGGATCGTTCCCGTCATTACTTTTACAATAATCTAAATTCATAATAATATTTCCGACAACAAAAGTATTACACATTCACTGTATGATATGGAAAGTTAACCTTTCATGTCATAGAGTTTACTCCTTTTTAAGTCTGAATAATCAAATTCCTTTTTACATGGTTTATATAAAGCAAAGGGTTGATGCTTTGTGTGGTTGGCGTCAAAAATGACAGTAAATATACCTTGTGGGATTCTGGATTACTTTTAAATGGAAACAATGGATATTTTACAATAAAGATAAATATTCATCTTAAACTCTCGAAGGATGCAATATACATTTATGTGTTGTACATAAATTGTTCATTTTGAACTGAAAAATGTCAGCTACATTTAAAGAAGTCATAGTGTGTTCAAATAACATCATATAAATGAAGATATAAGAATCACTCGTGGAAAAAATGGACAATAAATAGCTTCCAATAATTCCAAATAAGTCAACCTTAATTTCAGGATTAAGAAATTTTCTTTGTAAAATAAATATTTGACGTAGGAAAATAATATTTTTCACATTAATATTTCCATGATTACGTCAAGCATGACAGTAAAATTTAATCAAATTTCTTTTCATAGAAGCTCGTATTTCACTTCACATAAAAAAATTTCATCTATTCCATACTATAAATCCTTTATATGAAAACGTGATAAGTTACTCATATTTTACAAATATATCTAAAAAATATTTTTACTTTTTATGGCATTTTCCGTTATGAATAGTAGTCTAGATTTTAGACATATTCATATAATAATATATTGAACAAAAAATCAATTATTTCTTTTGAGCATTAACTTTTCAAATTTTCTCATTTTTCTTTTTAGTTACTTCTTCGTGTTTAAAATCTGCCACAGACATTTCATAGTCTAGATGTATGACAAACTTCTGGTGTTCTTGATCATTGAAAACGTTTTGAGTGATCTCACATCTGTAGTCTAAAGAAATATAAAAAAATACAATCTAAATCATAGCATGACCTTCAGAAAAAAGCAAATTATCTATTTTTCAGGTTATATTCTTCAAATCAGATGATAAAATTGTAAAAATTTACTATCCCCAAAAAATACAAATTCACTTGCAAGGGGACAATTCTATTCAGTTTGTAAAACTTCAAAAACTAATATCTACAGAAACCAAACTAAGTCCAACATAATTCAGGCACATCAAAGGTTAAGGTCAATTTACATTTAACCTGAGCTATCACAGATTTTCATAAGATTTTACATACAACTTCAGCATGTATAACTTGAATTGCTAAAAATAACGCATCTATCTTTTTTATTCTCTGAAATAGTATTGAATGAATTATTTAAAGGGGCATTAGCTGCCATTTGGACAAAAAATAAAAATATAAATTTATTTTTTTATCAAACAGTTAATAAAAGCGGAATAATGAAATACTATTTCGCTATTAGCCGTCAGTTTGGTTCAATTTGGTCATAATAAGATTCAATTGTAAGCCTAACTTTACCTTAAGCTGAAGATGGGTTACGCATGCCCTGACTGAGTGTGATCATTTATTAAAAAAGAAAAGAATGTCAACATTGAAATGTGAGAACAAGGGATCCACCATAAAAAAAACCCATTTCTTTGACCAATTCGGACCACAAGAAATCATTCATATCCAGGTAAAACCATTATTTACATGTTTTTTAATCTATGTCATCAAATCAAACAGACCTGGAAAAATCGTAATTACACAACTCCACTGCTTCTCAGTCTATTTATATTTATATTTATATTTATATCAGGTCGATTGACTATCTGCAGTCTTATGAGGTAGTCTCCATGGTTAATTAGATCACGTCTAGCCTGAAATACCAAGAAATGCTGAAACATTATACCAAGTCTATGCATTGTCAATTGTTTCTTTTGAACTTTTTGTAATTTGAATTTAAATTTTAGTATGTTATTAATCAAATAGGAGAATTTAGTTCAAATCAGTGATCATGAATTTGACAGCTAATGCCCCTATAAATTGTTTTTCATTTGTATAGAATGCATGTAAAATTGGTTATAAATGTACTTCAAATTGTCTTAAACTTATTATATCTCTAATATCAATTTATATGTTTTTCTTAAAAATTGACAACATATATTGCTTGAACATATGTGCTTGATAAATTTCATTTTTTTTTTTAAATAATCTCAGGTCAAAAGTTAGGAGATATACCTGTTTGGATTTATGGCTTTATAGCGCTATAACATTATGCCTATTTTGATGTTAAGAGTTCATATTATTTCATCAAGTGTCCCATTTTGAATAATATTTAAACAAAATAAGGATAGTGAATTCTTAATTATTTCACAACACTCAAAGGGAAATCAATCACATAACGACATATTGTTTTTAAGAATAAACTGTTAACACAGAGACATGTCTCACCTTTTTATTATTTTGATGGTAAAATGCAAATGTTGAAATGAAGATAAAAATACTATAACCTGTAAGTTATGCAAAATACTTAAGGTCATTGAACAATGACTGAAGGTACAGGGCCAAACAATCTCCATGGAATTGAGATGTGCCAATGCTAATACAACTGCATACCCAAATATCATTGACCTGCCACTAGTGGTTTCCCATAAACTGACCTAATCACAAACTAATATGTGTAAACCAAGCAAAAGTTTCAAGGTCAATAGACCATGACTGAGGGAGTGTGGCTAAATAAATCCCATGGGAATGAGATGTGCCAATGCTAATACAACTGCATACTATATATCATTGACCTACCACTAGTGGTTCCCCATAAACTGAGCTTATCACAAACTAATACATGTAAACTAAGCAAAAGTTTCAAAGTCAATAGACCATGACTGATGGGGCTGGGCCAAATAATCTTCATGGAAATGAGATGTGCCAATGCTAATACTACTGTGTTCCAAATATCATTGACCTACCACTAGTGGTTCCTCATAAACTGACCTAATCACAAACTAATACATTGTTGACACCGCCACCGCCACCGCCGCTGCCAGAAACAGAATACCTATGTCTTGCTTTTTGACCCTGTCAAGGAGAGACAAAAATCTGCTGACTGGTTACAGAGGATAAAGAATTCTTAAAAATTTCTTAGAAAAACTTTTACCGATTCACATGCATTTTATATGTGAACCAATTCTAGGAACTTTCTCCCATAACATATGAAAGGAAGTCGAACAAGTAAATGTTTTTTTCTTTCTTCAGATCTTCAGTTAAAGTCAATAACCCATTTACTGCAACTTGACTATATTTATCTTCACAAGTTTTTCCAGACCTTTGGTAACAATCTAAGTAGAACTGACAACACATAAGAAAACCAGTTAAGTCATGAATAGTTTTTGAGTGTAATTTATCCATAAATAACTGCTTAATTTGAACAAATATTTTCCTATTGCATCTGTGACCATTACTATGCTAAATAGTAATTCAGCCTTGACCTTATGAGGACCTCATAATCCAAATTGATATTTAGTCAATGACTAAAAAGTAAGTATTATAAGTCAATATTTAAACAATACCAGTTAAATACTTCATTCCACCCACATATCGTCAGATTGTATTTTTTTTAACATAAAATTCTCCAAATGATGTTCACACTGTCGATAACAACAATAAAGTTAACCATTATTTTTGTTAAGCTCATGGACCATAAATCATTGAAGGTACAATATGCATATTTTGTAAATCCTGCAAAAGTTATGTGTTAAATATTCATTTACAATTGACTCATTATCTCAAAGTTAATCGGACTGACATCAGGAATTTTGAGATATTAGGAGTAAATATAATTCAAATCTATTGGGACAGACTATTTTCTTTGTCAAAACAGGAATTTTGAGTTTAAAGAGTTTGAGATAAGGAGAGTAAAATGATTTGATGATATGTGATGCTATGACCAAATGTTTTTTTGTCTTAAGTTCATTAAAGTTCATTGAACTTTTGCTTGTTTTCTTGGAAACTGAGTTTTTACTGCTGTTATAACACTTTAAAGTAGCAATGCAAACTGTAACAGATACAAGATCACTTTTGTTGAATTAAAACTTAGCAATAAATAGTAAATCTAGATACCAAGATTTGTTGTGTTAGTAAAGTAGGGTTTTCTGTTTCTATGACATACAGCTGAAAACTGTATTCTTGTAATTTACTTTTAGGTGTTATAACAAGAGGCAAATTACAATAAATTATAAAAATATAAAGAATTTGACAGCACTTCAAAAGATTTGGTGTAATTTATATTACAACATAAGAGTTTCATCTTCAGAGAATAAGATTCAAAATAATATAAATTGACACGAGTGTTCTGTTTTACAGCAGTCTGGTTATTAAAATAGATATTTTACTTGTAGGATGATTAATTTTCTTCTGAACTAAGAAACTAAGCAGGATCACCCATAACACCTAAAGCTGATCTTTATAATAACCAATTTTATCACAAACTTTAGAAACCTTAAGAAAAGTGAAACAATGTGAACTGGTCTATTACAAAGATTTCCAAAAATCTATATTCCATGTTTGCACCATCTTGAATTTCGGATTAGAATACTATAAAATCACAATTTTATCTTGGACTGTTATATATATATCATTATTTAATTTGTTAAATTGTTTCCAGCATGCTGTTTACATGGAAACTAAATTCTGCATGAAAACCAACTTAAATTTCATTTCAGCCAAAAAATCATTTGTTTGGTTGAGGTCACCATTATGACACATAAGAATCAATAGCACCATATTTAAATTTAATCCATTCTGGGGTATCTGACAAAAAGATCTCTTTAATTTCCACCCAATCAGAACCTATTCACCAGGCCTTGGCAGCTATGTTCAATTTCAGAGCAGCAAGAAAATGACAAATTGAGTCTCCCTTAGGAAAATTCTCTCTATGCTTGGTCTCTTTGACCAAGTGTTTTCCTCAGATATACAAAAAAATTTACAACAGACAGACAACTGACACAATGTGATTAATGGGAAGCTAAAACAATGTGTAAAATCATTTGCTGATTACTGGTAAAGACAATTTATAAACATTTCCGCTAAGTTTGATATACGATTGATTCTTATTAGATAATTGAAAATTAGAAAAACATTTGGAAATCAGCTACAATTCTAATTCCAGCTAAAACCATATACCTAAGAAATAATTTACATATGTGAATACAGACATAAGCTAATTTTTCTGTATGCTCGCTAGATATTTTATTTAGTCAAATAGATGATAATAAGAATAGTATGAAAATGTAGTGGACAGAAAATACATTACCCTTCAGTTTGACCATGTCATACTGTTTTATGGTTATAACTACTATTATCTCTTTTCATACTTCTCTAATTATTTGTTTATATAAATTGGTTCTGCCCAGTTGCCTAGATTATCGGTAAACCACTAGTTGATTTAATTGTTGTGTGTGAAATCCCATCAAATTTATTCAAAATATTATTCTGAAAGAAATAGATTCTATAACTTTACTCCATTAACTATGACATTAATTCACTTTAAATAGTTAAATATCCAAATTTTATAACGCTAAGGCCGTCTAGCTGGACTATAGTGTTTGCCAGAGTGCAGAAGCTCATGGATTTGATCCCTGCTCGTGTCAAACCATAGACTTTTAAAATTGATATTTGCTGTTTTTTCTTCATAGCTTTTAAAAGTAAGTGCCAAGACTGGTTGTCTCTAAATTGGAATAAAACTGTTACCTTGTGAACTAGCACATTAAAAATCCAGTTTTGCATGTCAGTCTAGTAAAAAGTAGGGTTAATATTCATACAACATTAACATGTTCTTGTCTTGATATGCATGTAGTACCGAATTCAGACTTGTATAGTGCACGGTTTAATTTTGCAAAATTAAAGCGTATTTGCCATTGGAGATTAAACTCCAAATCCACCATCATGTATTAACAAATAGTTGCTTGGAAAGACTTTTATTTCAAATTTTGCAAATTTAGCTATTTAGAATGTAAAACAAATCCTAATCAACAGGGTACTGTGGTAGAACCTTTATTTATTTGCCATTCTCCATATAATCATTTACTGACAGTAACAATCAACTCATACCTACCTGTTAGAATTACTACTTTATGAAAGACAAGTTTCCTACTACTGTAATTATACACACTGTTTTCACACTGACTCCCCCCCCCCCCCCCTTACTTTCAGATTATATTAATATTTTCGTTTGTATGTATTATCACACTCAATATATAATAAAAAAGCAACACAAGCATTAGAAAGTCAAACAAATTAGAAAGTCATGCTTAAATCAATCATTTAAATTATCGCAGGCTTCAATCATGCAAAGATAAATAGTAGAGCAATGCCACATCACATACCGTAAATTTTTTATCTAGATTTTCACTTGACTTTTTGTCTTTGTCTAATTTTGAGTGAAACAGATCCATCTATAAACAAAGCAAAAATAGCAAACACGTTGTTTTTATAGTATACACTAGCAAATAAAAATAATAAGCTTTGATATCCAACTTTCCATTTCCTTCCAAATTAAAAAAACATAAATTCAATTAGGAACATTTAAGAAGAAGCTTATAATCCTTAATTTATAAATACTGGTATGCAAGTATGTAAGAAATGTTTCCTATATTTCCGTAGTAATCAAATATTATTTCCTTTATTATTATAATTCATATAGAAAATATGTCAATCAAACAGAAAAAGCCCAGCATGAGGATGCTAAAAAATCAGCAATAAAAACTGATCATTATACAACTATATATACATTTAATCAGCTTAATAGTTCAAAAAAAATGTAGACCATTATTATTTTCTTGGAATGATTTTTCTTAATCAAATGGTATTAAATTTATTTACAATAGATCAGAATGAGCAAACCACATTTTTGAGATAAATAAAAAATTTATTATATGACGGGATGGGACATGACCCCCAGGAACAAATCCTTTGTTGCACTGAAAAGGTTTGCCATTGCAGGCAAGATTATTGATGGTTTTGGGGTTGGACAAATAAAAACCAAATATTTGAATTTGAAGGTCAAAGGTCAAGGTCATCAATCATGGAATGCAACACATCATACTGAGGTGCTGCACCCATGTTTCAAATATCGAAATCCTATGTCAAAGGAGGAAAAAAGTTATGTTCAAGAAACAAGTGTAAAAAAAGTAATAGCACCTTGAGGTCAAAGGTCAAGTTCACATGATGGTCAAAATGATGTGTGACATACAGTCTTATGGTAATACACCTCCTTGCCAAATATCATAAGCCAGTGTCAAAAGATAAAATTATAACCTGGACTAGGTTGTATGAGAGGCAGAAGAATCAGAAGAAGAAACACTACTTAATCATAAACGTGTACTAAGTTTCAGGTTGATATATCTACAAATTCCTGATAAAATACCTTTATCGGTAAATACTGATCTGTGCTGTACTGTGATTATGTAAGATTGAGGCTGACAGAAGATTTCTGAACAATGAATATACAATGCAAAGGCAAAGTTAACCAAATACTCCCAACTGGATTTATATATAGTGTTACCAATTTTTTTTTATAGAAATGTCAGCAATATACCCAAACCCCAAAAATAAACAAAATCATTTCAAGATAATATTATGATCATTGTTTAAAGTGGTTTATCAATGATGCAATACAAAACATGGAATTAATCAATATACAATTGCATTTTGATGCAACCAAAATTTTATAAAAAAAAGCCTGATTTCTGTTTTTGTGAGCATGAATAAAAGGAGATGTGGGTATGAATAAAAGGAGATGGGGGTATGAATAAAAGGATTTTGGGGTATGAATAAAAGGAGATGTGGGTATGATTAAAAGGAGATGAGGGTATGAATAAAATGAGATGTGGGTATGAATAAAAGGAGATGGGGGTATGAATAAAATGAGATGTGGGTATGAATAAAAGGAGATGGGGGTATACATCAATGAGACAGCAACCCAATGACACAAAATTAAATGTCAAAAAAGTTTAGGTTTCTATATTCATCATCTTATAAATATTAATGAGAAAGTTGTCTTTTTGAAAAAAAATTCCAAATGAGAAATACTACTGTAGATTAGCAAAAATAGATCAAATTAAACAATAATTATACTGAACTCTTCAGAAAACAACCTAAGGAATATCTAATCAGAACTGAATCAAGACTCCCATCTGCAGTATCAATACAAATTCTCCTCAGAGATAACACTTAAAATTCCTCTATAAATCTTCTTCAAAGTGTAAACCTTAATAAAAATTTAAAAAGAAATGAACATCTAAGAAGTGACCAATCCTAGATACAATGGTTAAAAAATGAAAACATTTTCAAGTCTTATACTGATATACAGGGGCTAAAAAAATTGCACAACCGTTTTTCCTCAACTGAAGCGTGGCATTTTTATGAGAAATTCCTTTAATCTGAAAGCCATACATGTGCATTTATAAGTAACAACATTCAACATTGAGAGACAAGAATTTTTTTTAAAATTATCTGCATGTATGTAAAAAATACAACAAAAAAGACAAATCAAATAAAACAATCTATCAGAATAATTTCACAGTTTCCATTTAGAACTGTCTCCGAGTGAAAATAATTATTTATAAATTATCAAGCACCTTGTTAGGTTGTCGGATGTAATTCTCAAAATCAATTTCTGTTCAATTATCCTGTCTTACAAGGCAATGTCCACAATTCCTTATTCTATGTCTCACGTTACCAGCTTGGTAAATAGCCATATGGGGATTTGGAAAACCCGCTTTAAGGAAATTAATGAATATTGCATAATTTTTATTTCTATTTCAAGTTAGGAAATATGTATAAATCAAGCCGATCAAGCAGTTTTACGTCATAGTCATACTTTTTTGTGATTCATAAATAAATTTGTCTTGTTTTAGATTCAGATTTTTTCCAAAAGTGAAGGAAAACGTCTTATTTTACCTTGTCCCAGGATTTGATACCTTTCAAGTGACCAAAATAATTACAAAACTAATTTACTTTGCCCACGATGTCATGTATTAGAGATATAAATATAACTGATGTGTTTTCATTCAATTGATTCTAGTGACAGTAAGAAGCTTAAAGACAACTATTGTAGCAAACTACATCCTTTTTTGATTGCATAATTCCGATATAAATGGAAAGCATTGGATTTCTTGAAAATTCTTTTGATAAAATACTTTTTCAAATGACTCTTTTAACTGCAAACACACCACCTGCTTTCCAAAAAGTACAGTCTACACAGTAGCAAACACTTCTATACTGGCATGATTTATAATTTCAAATATTCAGTTGATAAATTATGTAAATGTCCTAAAACAAATGTCATAACTTTAAAAGGTATTGACCTTTTTGGTAATGATGCTCCTAAATATGTAGTGTCTTTATGAACGTTATTTCAGACCTATATTTTATGCAAACTTTTATCCTTATGGATTGATGTTCTGTGTTATCTATTGAATATTATACTTATTAATTTTATTTTGAAAATGCTTCTAAAAGCTGACAATAAAGTTAGAAAACTTATCTATAACTTTTTTTCTACTTACAACACAACTGAGATTTGAGACAATTTAAGATGAAAAGATAGGAAATGAGTGATAGTGAATATTTTGACCAAAATGGGTTTATCAAGGGATATATAAGGAGTCAGAAAATAAGAAAAAACAATCAAAACTTAATCTTGATTTGTCCTCATTAATTATGGACTTCTAATATAAAGGAAAATTCAGACTAGAAAAGTTAAGATACTAAGAAAAACTCTTTTCATTAAAAAACAATTCTTATCGGATGAGACATAAACTAAAGCAATTGGATTTCTAAAATAGTAGAACTTACACTTATGTACCCTATCCATTTTAACATGACTCCCCATTCTTGTATATATTGTACATATATGTGAGTGTGTGTGTTTACTAATAATTTGTGTATGCTTGTTTGTATGTTTATGAGTCTGGTGTTATCATAAATTAGTTTGTATTCATACCTATATAGAGTTGTCTCATTGGCAATCATACCACATCTTCTTATTCTTATAAAAGTATATATTTCTTGAATTTTTATAAATCATATTCATTTTCAAAATCATTGTTATAAACCTGGATCTTGCTGGTACTATAAATGGAAATAAATTCTTCTATAAATATAGAATAATTTTAATGATGTTCGATCCAAATAAAATGAGTGCATTTAAACTGGTCTATAAATTTTTTTACAATAAGTATGATATAAAAATCTTATTACTGTGAAGATTTCAATTAACAATGTATGTATACTTTGGCTGAGAAATCTATACAATACAAAATTTAATAGTTTCTATTTAGTTCAACAATGCAAACTTGTACCATATTGTCAATTTACTAAACATGTTCAAAAGAAGAAAATAGATTGACAATTGATTGTGATATTTCATTTCAACATCTGCATTTAAGTAAATGAAACTCTTCATCTAAAATAATGCATGCATGAGAGTCTTTTGTAGAAAAAGCATCAATATTTCATAAATCATTTAAAAACTTGTCTATATTTCAATTTATCACACTTTTTATGATTTTTTAATGAAGTTATACTGTCTGATTGCATCAGAAAGCTTTTATGCTCTAACCAATTTTCTTGTAAGAAGTTAGTACTATATTAATTTTGTCAAGAGCTATCTAATGTTGACATCAAACTCCAGTATTGAAGTCTAACGTTAGGTCACCTGAGTCAAGCTGTTTCCCTTGATCAAAATACTTTAAAAAAAACTAACAATGTTTGAATAGCTCTTGAAAATTTTTAAATTCATTTGTCTTGCTGTAAAAATACTATTTTACATATATTACATAAAAGTAGTATGAAATTTTGTTTATTCTTAAACAATGCAATAACAATATAACAGAGTATCCATCTGTGACTATACCAGGACTCTGGACATTGTGACGATGCAATTTTGTAAATATGACAGCCTGCTACAATCTATTCACGAAATTCAGAAATTTTAATTATGAGAATGGACTTACTATAAGGAGTTTTGTATATAAAAATATTTTTCCTATGGAAATAAAACAATATTTTGTTTCAGTCAGGTTTTCTTCAGAACTTGGAAAATTTCACAGAGAGGACCTTCTAAATATAAAGAGATTCATAACTGACAAACAAAAGAATCACCGGCATAAATTACTTCAGCTATTTTTTCCTTTGTGAAATTAATTCCCTCCATACAAAATTTTCAAATGATCAATGAAAAATTTGTTAAGTAGAATGATTAATTTTCAATTGAAAGTTATGATAAAGTAGAATACATATGTCTTCCATTCAATGAAAATGTGAGAAAGAATGCAATGAAAAAATATGCACAATTATAAAAATAAACAAGTGCTACTTCACTCAGAGAGCTAATCAAATAATCAACTGCTTTATCTGCATAGGTAATAACATATGGGGGAACCAATAATTTCAAACTGTTTGAATGTGCATACCAATTTCATAACCATTTAAAACAGAAATTTATTTCTTTAATATGTAACCATCTCATATTAACTGTGTGTTTTTAATTGCATGGGTATAGTCTAATATCACTTTTTATATCAATGTAAAACTGCATCGCCATTTGTTTGGAGCAAAATATCAAATTGCATTTTAAAAAAATTTAAAATACAAAGTATACAATTTTCAGAACTCTAATCATTTTGACACCCAATCACTCACATAGAAATTGAGACACAAGAAAATCCTGTTTGTGGACTTTTTTTTAAAATACAAGTGTCACTGCTAAAGAAATGGTATCTTAATTCAATACCTACCACTCAAGAGTTAAACACACTCAACAATTAAATAAATAAGAATTTACCACATTTATGTCATCAATGAGCATGACTTGACATCGAGCACACTGTAATAGGGACTGGGTATGCATCATGATCTTGTATATCAGATTGGCAACATTACTCTGTTCTTCAAATATCACACGAGCTAAATCTAACAGCACCTGTAAACAGTAAAACAACATATTACAAAGATTTAATTACTTATTTCTGATCTTAATTGTATCATTAAATTTAACAATATTCAAAGCACACATAGAGGCTCCCAGGTGCCTCTAATGCTCTTCTATATTTAAAATACTTTCAGTGACCACATGCCTCAGCAATCCTAAATCCTATTCATGTTTTTATGACTTTCATTGACATCACCAATATTGAAAGACAATATATCCTTTCCCTGAAGTTTGGTTTCAACCTGTCTGCACATGATTTTTCATAATTTAATCAAATGTTCTGTGAAACTTTTATTTTTGAGAAGTACATGTAGTGGCTATTTATAATGATAACAGTCATGTTGGTCCATCAATGGCAGGCATATTTGTCATACTTCCTGACCTTAAGGACAATTGTCAAGTTGATTCAAGTTTGGTTCAGTAGTTTTAAAGTAGAAAACTTTTGCAAAAGCTTATGCATTTCTTAAAAAAAGTTAATTTATCAACATAAACTCCATTACGGTGGCAACATTGGACAATCAGCTGGTTCATTGGATTTATTTCTGACAGAAACCATACAAAAAATTTATTAATTTCTAAGTTATTTTTCCTTTTTTTTACTATACAAATTTGTTTAGCAACGACAGCCAGAAAATGCATATAACATACATTGGCAATCATACCACATCTTTTTCATATATATAGGTAGGTATTCTCTAAGAAGCAGTACTAGAGGAGCATGCCAATAAAAATGTTATCATCTAAGCTGAAAAACAAAATCTTGGATAAAAATTTCAAATGGTTTTTGTTTATAGTACACTCATGTTTCTGATCAGAAATCAACTAACTAACCAAAAACCTTCCCTTGATGCAACACCATTGCTAACTATATACATATACAAGGTCAATAAATATCAGTTTGTTCATTCAATTGTTTTTATTGCTAACCCCAGATATAATGACCCTGTCATTATGACAATGGTCAATACACTAACAGTCAATATTTACCTTTCTGAACAAAAATACTAGTGAAAACACTTGAGTTTGACAAGGACCAAGGTCAAGGAAGACTTCATAAGGACTGATTAAACTGATATATACTTAAGTGGAATAAAGTATGCTTATTTTGATATAGGTCCTCATTTATAATTCTCATCAAGGGTTCAAAATGTCCATGGTCTCTTGTTGGTGAAGAACTTTAAGTAATTTTAATGTCATCTCTGACAGACCTTTGAAAATTCTTTTCTTTGCAGGTTTGATATTTGAAAAAAAAATGTATTCAAAATTTTCATGTCTTTACTGGTTTGAAATTAGAAAATGCTGGAAAACCATTACTTAATGAATACATTTTTACTTAAATCCACAAAAGAAATTACAGTTTTTACTAAAAAAAAAAATATTGATTCAGCTCGTTTATCAACTATTTCAAACTTATTGTTAAAGACCAGAACTTGGATGATACAGAAAATTTTCCTAATCCTAAATCTCGATAATTAAACAAAAATCCAATCTTGACATGTTTGTAAATAGAATAAAAACTGTCACAAATAATTTAAACTCCTAATCCTTAAAAATTACACTGTATTATCTTAATAATAAAAATAACTTCAGTATCTTGAACTTTTAAAACATTAAAATAAATATGAATTTATCGAAGGGAGATATTTGTTATAAAAATATTGCCAGTGAAAAGTGGCATATCTTTCATAACTGTACTGAGAGTTCACTTTATTAGCTCTGCATTTTTGTGTGTCTTTTATATTTCCAGGCTCAATACCCTCTGGGGTAGCTTCCATTAATCCTGTTTTGTAGTAATATGGCCTAAAAACTGTACGACTCCAATTAGTAGTCAGTGTCATTTGAACTATATCTGCCATTTTTGGCCTACTGCGTTTGCTCAATTTTAGAAATCAAACTTAGGAATGATGACCAAAAAAATGAGATAATTTATCAACATGTTTGCTAAATCTAAGAAATGGCTTGCAATGTCAAAAAACAAATCAGCAGGACTTGTAAATTTTAATATCTCTGACAAATGCCATTTGGACTTTAAAATGAGATGAAATTTTGGTTTTTCCGATTGTCAATTTCTGGAATGCATCCTATATATTTTGACAAAGGTAGTATTTTCATACCTGAAAGTATCTCAGTTCTCATTACTTGTTTGGAAATCCTAATCTTGCAGTTTCAGAAGAGACTTCATAAATAGCCCAATTAAATAAAAAGATATAGGTTTAGCATTCAATAAGATAAGATGAAGAAAATTTGTAAAGCATCATCTATGGAAAATGACTGCCACACTGGGAAATAAACTGTTATCACAGAGATATGTCTCGCCTTTTTGTAATTTTGATAATGCAAATGTTGAAATTAAAATAGCAATACTTTAACATGTAAATTATGCAAATATTCAAAGTCGATGAACCATGACTGAAGGTACATTGCTAAACAATCTCCATGGAAATGAGATGTGCCAATGCTAATAAAACTTCAAGCCAAATACCATTGACTTATTATAATTTGTTCCCTTTAAACAAACCTAAGCACAAACATTAACTTGTAAACTATGTAAAAGTTACAAAGTCAATGAACCCTGATGAGGGGGTTTTGGCTATATAATCTCCATGGAAACCATACTTGCAAATGCCAATAAATTTGCATACCAAATATCATTGACTTAACATCAGCAGTTCATCTTAAACTGATCTAATCACAAACTAATACATGTAAACTAAGCAAAAGTTTCTAAGTCTATAGACCATGACTGAAGGGGCAGGGCCAAATATTCTCCATGGAAATGAGATGTGCTAATGCATATACAAATGAATACCAATTAACATTGGCCTACCACTAATGGTTCCCCTTGAACTGACCTAATCACAAACTCATACATGTAAACTAAGCAAAATTATCAAGGTCAATAGACCATGACTGAGGGGGCAGGGCCAAATAATCTCCATGGAAATGAGATGTGCCAATGCTTATATATTAAACTGCATACCAAATATGATTGACCTACCACTTGTGGTTCACCTTAAACTAGACCTAATCACAAATTAATACATTGTTGAAGCCGCCGCCGAAAACAGCATAGCTACGTCTTGCTTTTTGACTCAAGGCGAGACAAAAACGGTGAATTTCAGAACAGTTAATTATGAAAGTTATTGGATAGATGAGGGAGTTCACATGGACCAGATAATCTAAAATAATTTATGCTATACTAAAGTAAAGGTTACAGTAAAGTTGAAAACAAGAATGTCATTTACCTACCAAGTCATATATTTGGTAACCTCACATCAAATTTATTTACCATAATATATATATTGAAGTCTAATGTAAAATCAATAATAAAGTTCAAATGTACTACGATGTAATCTCAATTTTTTCATTGTGTAAAATGTAATCAAAGTGTTTACAATTTATACATAAATTGGTAGGTGTACCATTAGATCTTAGCCTTCAAAGAACTTAATAATTAATGGACTATCATCAACAAACCTATCATAAATTAATGTGATCATCAATTCTAAATAATCAAATTCTTTATCAATTAAATTAAAATGAAGGTGGTCTAAACCAGATGATTTTTCAATAAATATCCGGTTATTACACTGAAAAACCTGATTATAATATCATGATACCAATAAAAACCCATCAGATCCTTTATTAAAATTGCCTTATTATAACAGTAGCTACCTTTATTGGTTATCAAAGGACAGTATGGCTCTTGCAATTACCTTTCATTATATGAAGATTTCTGATGCTTTATTAATGGTATATAAAATGGAATCATTAATTCCTCATGACATTTGGGGTTATTCACCATTATAGGAGCGACAATTTGCATCCTTGTAGGCATTTCTTTCTAATGGCGGTCTGCTAATGTAACAATCGATCATATCCAAAATTACAGAAGAAAATACATATATATATATATATGGTGAATAAAGGTTTTATAGAAAAGTGCTGACAATATCAAATTGATTTTATTTTGAACAATTTGTTTATTGCATGAGCTGAATCAAACATATTTGGAGAAGACGGATTATTTTCATTGACGATGTTAGTTACGAAACCTTAAGGCTTAAAGCTGTAAATTCCTGCGGAGTCTTCCATATATCCTTTCTCATCACTGTAATATTCCAACATTAAATAATTCCAATTTCAACTGTAACTTTTACTAATCATATTACTCTGTCAAAGCAGCACATTAAAGAAGCTTGGCGAATCCTTATCTTTATATGGAAGGTAGCAATATTATTATATTAATGTCTTTGCATTTACGAGTTCAATTGTAAAGAGGATTTTAACCCTTTAAGTAATACTAATACTTCATCTTGGACTAAAATATAAACAGATGAATGACATGCTTAAACTGATTTGTTTAGAAAAGAGACGCTTTAATCGCTTCTTTGTACAGCAATGTGACTGAAAATAAACTGGTATTGTGAACATAATTATGTCATACCAGCAGGTTGCTAATCCCTGTTTTATCAAATTATATATAAAATCTTACAAGCTGAAAGGCTATTAAAGAATTAACTGACTTCTAGCATTTATTGAAAAATCTAACTATGAAGAAATAAAAGAAATTTTTGGAAAACCATACATACAAAGTAAGGGACTCTTTTCACAAAAAAACTTATGAAAAAAATTGATCCTAAGTCATATTGAAATTTTCATGACTTGCGAGTATTTTTTCTCGTAAGATTTTATGTGAAATGAGTAGTTGATTGTTAAATCTTAACATGGCTATTCAGTGTTGATGGTAAATATGTGATAGCACCTCTGTTAAATTTATTCATATTTCTTGATGTCTTTTAACATGTTCTGTCTCATTACACTGATCATCTTTTTTAATTATGAACAGACTAGGTACATTTAAATTTAAATATATAAAAATAACAATAAAAATAAAATTTTCCACTTAAGTGTCAAGAGTGAGTGGGCAAGTAGGATTGTTATTTTAAGACCTTGTCCTGCTGATTATGTTTGCCCTTTACAGTTTCTCTTTATCTACAATACTTTTCGTCCAGGTGAGCTAAAAAGGATGTACCTGATTTGTTTGTTGTTTGATTGCTGACTCATTGACCTATATCCTTCTATAAAATTTTCATCTGTCCATAGCTTGAGTTCTGGAATCCCAAGGATTTTATTGCATTTCTTGCAAAATAGAGTGATGGATGATGGAACAATTTTTATAGGTGTTGGTAATGCAATAGAATGCACCTTAGCGAAGGCCACTTGTGGAATTCTGAATTGAAATAAAATGGGGAGTGTGCAGTTATTGGAACATAGATATCCCTTCAACAGAATATCCTGAAATAGAGAAATTCAACTTTCATATGTACAGGCATATTACATATACCTAATACAATGCATTCAAATATCCTCATTTACAATTTCTTTACCTTTAGATGTAAAAAGAATCATGATCTCAAGTTTTGAGAGGTTTACTGTGTATTGAATAATGTCCAATATGTAATGGGAGTTCAATCAAAGTTTCAATTTCTTATTTTGATGTTTGCCATTTTAAAACTATATCCCATTAAATTTGGTAAAATCAGACTTGTTTCTTTCTTTTATTGACCCACTCTTTCGAAAACACCATGCCCAATTTTGTACATAAATTCCACCACTATTTAAAAATATGATAAACAAAATAAGTATTGATATTTAATGCAGTCTTACTCTTACCTAACTTTGCTGTAATAGGTTCTAACTTTCAAGATCATAGCTGAGCAATAACAGCATTATTAGTTAATCATATGGTTGTGTCATTGCATATAAAGATGTTTCTTTTCCAATGATTATCACCTTTCCAGATGCAATCACAGACAGAAATAATTGAAGAATTATTACTTTAACACATTGGTTCATTCCTTGTATCAATAATTAACTTCAATATTTTGATCAGGTATTCTGTATATCTCATCAAATAACTAAAGATAATTCAATACATGTTCTGACAAAAGGGATAGGTTTCTTCTGAACTCAGAGACACAGGTTTTACTGTAAAATTTGAGACAACTGTTTCCCGCATATTCAAAAAAAATTTTTTTTTTAATTTTCCTACAGACAACAATTACTTTGACACTTTTTAAAGATAAAAAATTTATGATATTTGTTTTTTTTTTTTAAATAAACGTGCTTACATGGGCAAGTCTTGAAGCATAACAATAGAATTTAACTGAAGGACCTAATTGATGATAAGCTGATATTTTTGCAGCATCCCAGACAAGAATCTACAATACTAAAAATATTGCACGTTTCCAGACAAATGTCTAAAGACATTAGAAATCTTCTTTTAAATAGCAAATTGAGGCAATTAAAATGAATATATACAATTCATTTGTCTAGCTTTAGAGAAAAAAAACCTAAATACTGATTGAACTGTAAGATCCTAATAACCAGTAGTGTTTGGACATAAAGGTCTTTGTCAAGAGTTGTGGAAAAGAGAATTGTTCAGATGACAGAAGGACACAGCAGTGAGCTAGCGTTAAACTTAAATTGTGAAGTAGACTGTTCAGCTAGACAGCCTTAATTGCTATGCAATGTGGGTTTTGCTCATTGCTGAAGGCCAAACAGTGACATATAGTTGCTTTTAAACCTTCTATGTCATTTGGTCTCTGATGGAGAGTTGTTTCATTGGCAATCATACTATGTCTTCTTATTTTTATATTACCATGTTAAATTAAAAACCTTTTAAGGTTTTAAAATTAACTTTAACCTATAAACAACTAGTGTATTTTGAACTAAGGTGTTGTTGTCATTCATTGTTTTCTTTCACAAAAAAAAAAGATTTTGAAGGAATTTTGACAGTGACAATGTCCAAAGAAAAACATCATCTGTTAAAACTTTGATGGAATCCTATTTTTGTTGAAGCCAATCATAGTTGAGTTTATCAATGATGCAATTTGAAAAAAAAAAAAAGTTAAAAACAGTGAGAAAAGAAGAACTGAGTAAGCAGAATGACTTCCAGTAAAATTAAAGACTGGATGTGAAATATCACATTTCAAATATAAAAATAAGAAGATGTTGAAATTATTGCCAATGAGACAACTATAATCCACCAGAGACCAAATGACATAGATGCATGGTAGCAACTAAGGGTCACTGTATAACTGCAAAACTCATACACCAAAGCAAACTATATAAGGCCTGACATGACAAAATGTGAAACCATTCAAACAAAAAGTATGAAGTGTTTATTGTGAGAAATTGTCAAATAATTGTCAAACACACATACCAACAACACATCTAAAAGATGTGTCAAACACACATACAAACAACACATCTTAAAGATGTATCAAAAACACATACAAACAACACATCTTAAAGATGTATCAAACACACATACAAACAACACATTTTAAAGATGTATCATTTTATTTTCTTATCCATATAATTGATAGCTGTGTTTTGTAACTTTTATCCTCAGAGAACTAAAATACAAATATGTGGATTATTGTGAAAAACACACACACACACATTCAAAATTTGTGACTAGATTTTTTCAAATGATCTTTATGTGAATTAATTATTGTGACACACACCTAAAGGAACGTGAGAATTCCTATCTCACACATACCATCTTATACTGAACACCATTATATTCCTACAAAACAAAATTGAGAAATTCATTTTTTCCAGTTCATTTATCAACAGAGCACTATTTTTTTCCTCTTTCACTTACAATCATGTAATAATTTATTTCAAAAATTTGAAGTTAATTTGGCACACATTTTGGTACAGGTTTGATTTATTTGAAAATTATGATCTATGATGTAAAAAGTGAATATTAAAATTGAAAAGATTTATGTGATTATTCTTAAATTATGTTTGATTTACATTTTAAATGAAGCGATACAATCATAAGTTTCTGTATATATCAAAAAGAAAAAAGATTTAAAATTGATTATCAGGTGCAAACCTACAACATTCAGTAGGCATACTGACTCTCTCAGCAAGACACTGTTAGATATAGCTATGTTATCCAGCATCAGTAAGTTTTACTGACATTTTTCGATATCTTCAGACAACCTATAATTTTCTATGAACATAATGACTTAATATCAACTCTTATCACCATCAAATCAACTAGTCACCCAAATAAGAGGGAGAACAATGAACAAAGAAAACAACAGTATGGCAACAGTATTCAACTTGGTACTAGGATCTTAATCTAGGTTTCCAGGGCCTTATGTTTGACAAGAAATTATTTTCTAATTCTCTCTTCCCTTCCTCAATCTTTTTTTCATTCCCTTTCCTTGTCAATTATATTTTAAGTGCTTTTTATGCACACCTAGACCAATGTATATCAATTTGGACACAATACAAAAATCTAACAGCACCTACAGTAACAGCGTTCATTGAGAAACTATTGCAGAACTTTTGATTGTTGATTTTAAACCACACGATAGCCAAGCCATTTGAATAGTCTTCATTAAATTCTGTTGAATTTCCCATACATGAGGTAGGGAATTCTAGAAACATGTGTCATGTGCACACGAAATCATATTTTTTGTTTCAACAGATGGAAGACAATCAGTCCTCCAAAAGTACCATCTGCTCTGCATTGCTAGTGCTTTGGTATTGATGTGATTTTTTTGGTATTGGTGTGATTTAAATGATACATTTCTTATTATTATGTTCTTATCCTAAAACTGTAGTTGTAACTCCCTCAGGCAATGTTCAACTTTGACTATTTTAGGGTTGTTTTATTTTTGCACATTTTGGTTATTAATAATGCTTCCACACAATTTACACTTCATTTTTTTCGGAGCAAAACCTGACAAAGGTCATTCCGTAAACATATATGTTGTGTGTGCACCTAAATTATAGCTTGCTTTTTATATGTTTGGAGTCTGGATACACTGTCACTTTTTGAAGATGTTATGGTAGCTATAAGTTTCTACAGTTTTATTCTATTATAAAATGAAATTGTGTTGTTGGATAACTGTCTCATTGAAATATAGTCCATATCTTCCTTTAATGAAACCAAAACTCAAAAACAGAAAACTATAGTATGGTTAAAAGCACTGTAAATAACTAGGATTTATGTTTTGGAAACATTCCAATTTAAAATGCCTCATAAAATAAGTGAAGGTTCATCTTTTTTTGTGCATCATTGCTAATATAAATGATTATTTTGGAAAATATGTACAAAACATTATCTGTATTCATTTTCACATCAAATCTTCAGTTTTTTCATGGAAATTTACCATGTACTTGTTGAAACGTGCTACAAAAACTCTCAAAATGTAAAGGCCAATTAATTTAAGTTGCATATAATTCCATAAAGGCTTACATGATAAGCTTAATTACACTTATTCCATTCCATGAAGCATTGATATTAGTTGTGTATAGCAGTATGTACATGTACACTTTTAGCTTTATACATTTTGCAACTGTATCGCAATATCCATGACAATTTAGAAATACTATAGGGTTATTGCATGAATATAAGGCATATTGTCCCTAGTAGCTTTAATATTGCATGAGCTTGTGTTGTAAAGCAAAGCTTAAACAACTGTTTAAAACATATTTTGCTCATCTATGATGTCAACAATTTGAAGCTATATTGGCATATCTGCAATATCACTGAACATTGCATGCTTACTTTTACGTTCTGTGGGAAATATAACGTTGCCACTCAATGTCATACCTGATTTCTTCGGTTTTCTAGGAGAGATTTCTCATATAGCTGTGCATTCTTCAGTCCAATGCCACAAAATGCAAGATATGATCCAAACACCTGAAAAGTAATGTGAATTCATATAATACAATTCATATAAAAATTTCTGTAACACATAAAAAACATTTCTAAAAAGCTGTATTATACAGGTGATTCAAAGAACTGTTTAATTACAGAGTGTGCTCATTGAAAACATCATTTTTTTTTCAAATGTTTATATATGTACTAAACTTATAACAAGGACACTGGAGCTGCAAAACAAATTTCAATGGAATGTAACTGCTCTTATAACAACTGTATATCATAAATAGAGAGAGCAATCGCTGAAAGTTTATATTGATGATAGCTTGCAATGGTCTCTGCTTTCAATCATATTCTTAACCTCAATTAAAGAACATAATCTTAGTATCAAATAAAATGCTCTACATTTAAAGAACGGAGTGATGTCCCGTCCCTATTTTTTGTCTGTTTGGAAATTAAGTACCAGGGGCTCTTTCATATATATTGAAATATTCAGGACTTATGAGTATTTTTTTTTCGCAAGTTTATTGTGAAATAAGTCGCAGGCCTTGCAGTCATAAAAATTCTGAGTACTATAATCGTACTCAGACTCAGAATTCAACACATTTTGTACTCTGAGTACTGAGTAAAGTTTTAGACGAAGAGTCCAGGTATTGATGTCTGATCTTCAGTCATTTCAATAGGTTATATTCACACCTTGTTGATTTAAAATGACAATTTAAGGATTACATAGGTTTGGGTGCTTTTCCCCCTTTTTTTTAAAAGATAATTGATGCTCACTATTGTTGGGTTAGCTTCCTATTATAAACTCATCATAGAAACAAGGCTTACAATTTTGTATGCAAGACATGTGTTTCTCCCTCAAAAGACTCATCGGTAAGTGAGGCTCAAATCAAAAAAGTTAAAAAGGCCAAATAAAGTATGAAGTTGAAGAGCATCAAGGACCAAAAATTCAGAGAGGTTTGCCAAATACAGCTATCTATTAAATGCTTATCCACATTTTTGTTCATGCTATCTGTTACTCAAATTATTTCATTCATAACATCATAAGGAAGTTTAGGAGATTGTAATTGGAAAAAAATATTTGCATACAGGTAAAATAAATTTACATTAAACAAACACACTAGATATAAAACCAATGCATGAATGTAAGAGCAATTGAGAACAGGTAACTGTCACTATTTAGTGACAATCACATCAAAGATATTTAATCTTCAGTTATGACAACTTTACAAATATATTATGACAGATAGGAAATATAACTTAAATTTAATCATTTTTAGAAAAAACTGTTTGAATTTTATATTCATGTACTTTTCTATACAATCAGAACTTCAGGTGTCAGTTGGTCACATCCAACATTCATTCATGTACCCAACTATGTTCATCTTTTCTTCTGTCTCATATAAGATACAGTACATTTGTTTGCGTCAATCTGACTTATTCCTCCCTTTGAATATGTTAATATTCCTGACTTTTCTTTAGCACATCTGAGTCCCAAAGTTGAGAAATAGACAACAGTAAACCTATAATAATTTATTACAGGGGTACAAGCTGTTTTATCAAAAGCGTATCAATTCCTAAAAGTGCTTCCCTATTTATGAAAAAATAGTGAATTATTGAAGCAAATTCTAAAGTCAACAATGAATATAAGAATAAGGAAAAATTAGTTTTATGTATTCATTTTTTAAATAATTCAACTATTTTTAAGGGTACATTTGTCTTTTTCTTATCAAAAGCATATAATTCTTTTTTTTTTCTTCTTCCTTCTTCCGGGAGTTCAATATTTTCTGAAGTAAAAAAATATACCTCAATAACATGCAGCTATTTAAAGTTTACCAGGTCAAAGGTTCTAGAGTGTAATAAAACATTTAAGATTTATTTGATTATTGGTCTGCTAGATCAAAAGGCAAAAAAGCACTTCAATGTCATCCTAATGCTAACTCAAATGGATGAAACTTATCCAAAGTTATAAATTTGATTATTTATGTACAACAAATATATAATTAGATTGAAATGTCAGAATTTCAGTTTACCAAGTCAGTTTTATAAGTAGGTAATATATTTCTCAAAACCTAAACCCTCAAACCATTCATAGTGCATTTTAATATGGTTTGTCCCATATGTACATGTTTGTATCTATTCATCGCGCATTTAATACGGTTTTGTCCAATATATATCTATTCTATTAAAGACCAAACTTGAATTCCATCAGTTTCTTCTCTCCTTTAAACTGTCAGCAATGTGAGCTCAATAAAGCAATAGAAACTAGATGTGTTGGAATGACACGAATGGCCCTGTTCGCAAAAAAGCTTTGAGCCATTTACAGGAGTGAAAATTTGAGAATGAAAGTCTGTATAACTGTTATTGAAGTCAAAAGTCCGTAATTTTAGTAAAAATCAATGGAGCGGAACCAAACATACACTTAATCTGTAACTCAACATAGTTGACTCACATATTAAAAATCAGCTCAATATGTGAAGGCGTTTAGAAAAAAAGTCTGTATAACTGGTTTTTTTTAAGAAATTTTTCAGTCCAAAGCCTGTAATTTTGGCAAAAATCAGTGGAGTGGAACCAAATGTAAACTCGATCTGTAACTCATCATAGTAGACTCACCTACTAAAAATCAGCTCAATTTGTGAAGGCGTTTAGAAAAAAAATATGAATAACTGTTTGTTACGGAATGATGGAATGACGAATAAGGGTAAAACTATATGGTCCCAACTTTATTGCGGGGCCATAAAAATTTAAGCCTTATCATTGACATTGTTTTCTGTGTACTGCTTGTAAAGGTGTTATAGTTAGTTTCCAAGTTGAATGCCAATACTCTTCCGACAGCAAGTTGTGCAGCAATGTACAAAATACTGATAGTTTTATGCAGCTTTTGAGCAGCTCTGAATTTTGGTCCTACCATATTCTGAATTTAAACTTTGAGGTGATACAAAATAGCAGGAATATTTAATCTATTTTCAAAGAATTCATATTTAATTTTACTGAATTACCTTAAATAAAAACCTTTATATTTTACATTAGGTGAACAGAAAGTTAATACTTAATGTAAAACTAATGGGGTCTTTTTTACGCAAGTTCTTAAATTAAACATAAATACATAAAAGTCTATTCATGCTTTATTTGCTTTTATTCAACCTCAAATATACAACATATGAAAGGTTAATAGAACATATTAGCATAGACCCACTTAACTAACAATAGTACTATCCTGATGTACAAATAAAAAAATTACAAAACGAAAATTGCCATCTTCAAGTGGAAATAGAAGAAAAACTATTGTAGGCGCAGCATAAAAAAGCTATGTAGACTTTATAGTAGTACAGTAATAACAAATATGAAAATCTTCATTTATAACAATGTTCATGGATGAATTACAAAAGAGTCACCAAATCCAATCATCTATCAAAAATTTAAATATTAACATGTAACACAAATGTAGAAACTATATTTCCAGAACAACAAGCATTCAAATAAAATAAAAAAACATAACAAATTCAAAACAGAAATGCTGTTTTCACAATTAACTGGTTTCGCACAATGATTATCTCTGAGAAACCTTATCACAATTAATCCCCACAGCCATTTTCCCAACATGTCAGTTTATGAAACAAATCCATGACATTTTCTGAGATTTCCTTCATTGCATGCCATCAAGGAAAACACATCAATGACTTGATGACAATATCTAGGAAGCTCAAGGGTACAATAATCATGATTATGCATTTAAACCTTTTCAACTGACAGACTAACTAACTAAGAATAACTTCTTTTTAACATGCTTTCTTAGAATCAAATCAATCTTATTATAAAGTGCTAATTGAGCATTTTTTAAATTGAATACTTGGGAATTCATACAGTAGAACCGATAAAATTAATCTAAATATTTTTTTCGTTTTGTTGGAACAAGTTATTTTTTGAATATTTTCATAGAATGAGAATTATAGCTAGGTGTTGTCAAATGAAATAACACTTGTGTTTGAATAATTTGAGGTTTTCAAAGTGTAATGTCACAACTGATTGCAGAAATTTTATGAGTAAAAGCAGAATAAAAAAAAGAGGCTCTCAAGAGCCTGAATCGCTCAACTGTATTTCAGAGGAGAAGATTTTTAAATGTTAGCAAACTTGATGAACAAATTGTGTAAAATTGTCTTTAAAGGGCAATAACTCCTTAAGGGGTCAATTGACAATTTTTGTCATATATTAACTTTTTTGTAGATCTTACTTTGCTGAACATTATTGCTGCTTACAGTTTATATATATCTATAATAATATTTAAAATAATAACAAAAAACTGCAAAATTTTGTTTAAACTACCAATTCGGTGGCAGCAACCCAACAATGGGTTGTTCGATTCATCTGATAATTTCAGGGCCGATAGGTCTTGACCAATTAAACAATTTTACCCCATTTCACATTTGCTCTAAAAGATTTAGTTTTTGAGATATAAGCCAACAACTGCATTTGACCCTTATGTTCTATTTTTAGCCATGGCGGCCATGTTTGTCGATGGATACAAGGAACATTTAGTTAAAGTTTGAAGGTAATTGGCCCAGTAGTTTCAGAGGAGAAGATTTTTAAATGTTAGCAAACTTGATGAACAAATTGTGTAAAATTGTCTTTAAAGGGCAATAACTCCTTAAGGGGTCAATTGACAATTATGGTCATATTATCTTTTTGTAGATCTTACTTTGCTGAACAGACGACGACGACAGAATTACAATACGTTGTTAATAAGTTTCCATGGGAGATAACCTAAAACATTATATTCTTTTGAATATAGAAGACGAAAACTTGATTATCTCCCATGGAAACTTCCTAACAACGTATTGTAATTTCACACATATTTTACTGCATATGAAATGTTTTAATTCAAATGATGTCTGAATCGTATGAATATAGAAGACTTTTTCAAAAAAAAATTGTATGAAAGCTTAGTTTGGACATTTTTATAGCAATTCAAAATTACTACCTATCACCTTTAGCATGACAATAACAATAAAATTTCTATACAAACTGTTAGACTGATT